AGGCTTGACCTGGGTGGTTCATGTTTGACCAGGGTTGTTCATGTTTGACCAGGGTGGTTCAGGTTTGACCAGGGTGGTTCAGGCTTGACCAGGGTGGTTCAGGCTTGACCATAGTGGTTCAGATTTGACCAGGGTTGTGCAGGCTTGACCAGGGTGGTTCAGGTTTGACCAGGGTGGTTCAGGTTTGACCAGGGTGGTTCAGGTTTGACCAGGGTGGTTCAGGTTTGACCAGGGTGGTTCAGGTTTGACCAGGGTGGTTCAGGCTTGACTAGGGTGGTTCAGATTTCACCATGGTGGTGCAGGTTTGACCAGGGTGGTTCAGGTTTGACCAGGGTGGTTCAGGTTTGACCAAGGTGGTTCAAGTTTAGCAGTCTTGTCCCAGCCAATTTGAATTTTAGTCAAAAGTTTAATCTCAGTAAATTAAACTTAATATCTCCTGTCTGTCTTAGGTATACATGAATGTCTTAGGTATACAGTAATGTCTTAGGTATACAGTAATGTCTGAGGTATACAGTGTTAACACCAGAATCAGAACTTAACTAATTTAAATAAACAATACGTTATGTTGAGACTGTCAAGTTCTAAGCTTTGAATAGGCAACATGTGTTTATTAAGAAAATGTTTTTTCCTCTAAACTTTTACCCCCCCCCCAACGATGACCCCCCCACCCATGACCCTCCCACATACAACTCCCTCACCCATGCCCCATCACCCACGCCCCATCACCCACGACCGACCTCCAGACTCACCCTTCCCTACAAGGACAGACCTAGAACATAATAATAATAATAATAATAATAAGTGGTCTTATATAGCGCGGTACCCCGGCCTAGGGCTGGGCTCACCGCGCTGTACATATATAGCAAAGAGGCATAGTCATAATATTAAAATAAAATACATAAATGAAATAAAAACAACATATAAGCAAAACAACACCATAGGTATATTCATCCACCCACACCAGACATTTTTATATGTGAGATTTTTAATATGTGAGATTTCCCATTACTAAGCAGTTCTATTAATAGTCCTGAGAACACCTTAAAAATGGGAGCCTTACTATTTCTGATATGTTTAAAATGCTACTGTAATATAAGAAAAGTGCTGTATTGATGGAACTATTGAGGAATCTTTGAATGCACATGTTGGCATACCAAAAGTTACAATGAAAATTATTTCTGTGATGGCCAATACAATGATATAGGTAAGTTTCTTGAAATACAGCTGGCAAATGCAGTATCTTCCTACTCAAAATTAATTCTCTACATTTCAGTTGTGTATAAGATACAATACACAACCATTGTTAAGATCCCATTTTCATTTGCAAATGAAATATAAATATTTTAACATTGTTTCTGAATGTGTCTTTTTTTGTGTGCACATGTTCTTGTTATATGCCAAAATAAAGCATATTAAAGTGTATAAAACTGAACATTTCTCTTGATCCTTTATTAGCACAATACTTGAAGTGGAAATTACAATGCAACACGTCAGATCCGGTTAGATGGGATTCGTTTACATGTTGTTGTGATGAGGAATATTTCCTTGACTATGACATTAATAGTCCACTAAATCATCAACGAACTGTGCAAGATTCCCTCACTAAGTTAAGTAGCCCTTGCAATCAGTGAAATATCCTCGTCAACACCAGGCACAGAAACATTGCAAATCCCCTCTATGTGCATAGGAGCCAAAATGATCAATCAATTAAAATTTGATTGTGGGCCCTTAATATATAGAAGAAGAAGAAATTAAGAATATTTATGAATTTTTCACTTTAGACTAAAGTTTAGTAATTATTTTTTTTTTCAATCTATCATAACCTATTGCTCTATTTCTCACATTCCAGTTGTTATATCTTGCTCAGTTTCTAAATCTTGTTTTAATGATGCATACAAATAAATATAGTCATAAATTGGTTGTCTTCAAACCAGCACAGTGTAGTCATAACGTTTTGTAACTTGCATTATTGTTGCGTTGTTACAATGTAGAACAAGGTAGCCAATGTTACAATAATGAACAACAAGGTAGCCCATGGTATAATGTAGAACAATAAGGCAGCCAATGGTACAATGTAGAACAACAAGGTAGCCCATGGTATAATGTAGAACAATAAGGCAGCCAATGGTACAATGTAGAACAAGGTAGCCTATGGTACAATGTAGAACAACAAGGTAGCCTATGGTACAATGTAGAACAACAAGGTAGCCTATGGTACAATGTAGAACAACAACGTAGCCCATGTACAATGCAGAACAACTGGGCCGCCATTGTTACTACAGTGCCAACTCACGCCTCGATTTTCGCGGCTTATTTATTTAGACATTTTTATATAGCGCTTACCTTAAAGCTCTAAGCGCTTTACAATTATTAAAAACATGTAAGCTAACTAAAATAAAAAGGAGTCATTAGGATAGTAACTACTATACTATAGAAACAATTAAAATGGCTATAAAACGAGGACACTTTGGCTTCATTCAATCGCTTTTTTTTTTTTTTAAGTTGTCTTTGTCAATTATACACCCCTGTATTACAATTTTAAAAAATTACTGTACAAATATACTGTTGGTCTGTGTATACGAGCACCCAAGAGTGTCTCATAATGTTGACAAAAACTGTATTTAGAAGGTCGTGAAAGGGTTTTCTAAGCCCTAACTTAAAAAATAATCAATTTATAAATAAAGAATTATACCTCAAGGAAATTCAGTTATCGCGGTTGTGTGGAAATGAGTGACAATGTCAGTGATAAACGATGGACGACTGTACAAACAGGACAGTGTCACTAGTGTCAGTGATAAACGATGGACGACTGTACAAACAGGGCAGTGTCACTAGTGTCAGTAATAAACGATGGACGACTGTACAAACAGGACAGTGTCACTAGTGTCAGTGATAAACGATGAACGACTGTACAAACAGGACAGTGTCACTAGTGGCAGTGATAAACGATGGACGACTGTACAAACAGGACAGTCTCACTAGTGGCAGTGATAAACGATGGACGACTGTACAAACAGGACAGTCTCACTAGTGGCAGTGATAAACGATGGATGACTGTACAAACAGGACAGTCTCACTAGTGGCAGTGATAAACGATGGACGACTGTACAAACAGGTTGCATATCTATATCAAATAAACCGCTTCTTCTCGTCTCGACCCTGATCACATTGCATTATTGCAAAACATAGAATATTATTAAAAAAAAGCATAATATCTAAGAATAATAAGAACGAAACATAATATCTTATAAGAACAGAACGTAATAAGGGTAACTAATAAGAACACTACATAATATCTAATAATAATAAGAACAAAAAAACGACAGAAAACCTATTAAAGACATGGGAGAGAAAAGTTCTCAGAAAAATATTTGGACCAACAAAGGATGGAAATGGATGGAGAATACGAACCAACCAGGAATTGTACAGTCGATATCTGGATCCCACGCTAATAGCAGAAATAAAAAAAAAGAGGCAGGCTACGGTGGTCAGGACACTTGGAAAGAATGCCAAAGAACAGAGGAATGAAGAGGGTGCATCACTCAAATTAAAATAACAGAGGAAAACGGCTCAAAGCCAGAACTAGGCTTAAATGTATTAATGATGTGGAAAAAGATCCACATCATGGAAAATAAAAGTATGAGTTTGACCTGAGTGAAGTGGAAGGAACAGAGGCGTAGCGAGAGGGGGGCCGGATGTCCCCGGGCGCCAGCTAGTTAGGGGCGCCAAAATGTGCTTTGATATTATTTTATTGATGAAAATAATGGATTTGCTAGTTGAAAAAAAGAACAAGTGGCCTTTAAAATGGATCTTGTCCCCGGGCGCGAATCTTGTCCCCGGGCGCCAAACACCCTCGCTACGCCTCTGGGAAGGAAGTAGTGAGCAGCCAAAGCCATACATGGGCTGTAGCGCCACAGGGATTGATGCATAATAAGAACAAAATATAATTTTTGATAATTTTAATGAAATAGTTTTAAAAAATTGTTTAACTAAGTAATTAAAATTTCAAAATAAATTTTAAAGGGAACACAATTTTAACTAATAAGATAAGAAAAGATGCTTTTATCAATCCAAATAAATGGATGTTTGCTTTCATTGCATTGCACATATTGTTTTGGAAAGTCCTTGAGAATTGGATGTGCCCCAAAATTGGTCAGCAGCGAACCGTTTGTTGAATCATTGTGTGGTCAGAATAGCTGTTATGTTCTCGAGTGAATCATTGTGTGGTCAGAATAGTTGTTATGTTCTCGAGTGAATCATTGTGTGGTCAGAATAGCTGTTATGTTCTCGAGTGAATCATTGTGTGGTCAGAATAGCTGTTATGTCCTCGAGTGAATCATTGTGTGGTCAGAATAGCTGTTATGTTCTCGAGTGAATCATTGTGTAGTCAGAATAGCTGTTATGTTCTCGAGTGAATCATTGTGTGGTCAGAATAGCTGTTATGTTCTCGAGTGAATCATTGTGTGGTCAGAATAGCTGTTATGTTCTTGAGTGAATCATTGTGTGGTCAGAACAGCTGTTATGTCCTCGAGTGAATCATTGTGTGGTCAGAATAGCTGTTATGTTCTCGAGTGAATCATTGTGTGGTCAGAATAGCTGTTATGTTCTCGAGTGAATCATTGTGTGGTCAGAACAGCTGTTATGTTCTCGAGAGCAAGTTTGCATTTGGACCAGAGTATGAATTTGTTCGAACCTAGTTCCCGGCTTTTATGGATAATCATAATCTCTGTAGCCGGCATGCCTTTGGTTTGTTGCCTCGATGTCTGCCATTTTTCAAGATGGCGGACAAGACGGCGGATACGTGGGTTTCAATATGGCGGATGTGAATTTGGTTCAAGGCCACGACTTCCAGTGCCATTTAACCGCTGAGAGTCACGATAAAACTAAAGGTTATCTGTCCAAACGAACATAGTTGACATTTATCACACCTTGAATTTTAAAGAAAACATTGAAAAAAAAACTCAAAACTATTCCAAAATCTGAACAAAATATGAACAGATGCAATCGAGTCGCCTACGGAATCTACTGAGAGAATTAAACACCTGGACAATGAAATTAATGAAAGAGATCTTTTAAATATTCTGTTCATACAATAATGCAAATAAAGATTTTAATAACTCTGTGTGATACTCTCTCTCTCTCTCTCTTCATCTACAAGCAAGTCTTGAAGGGACACGTCACAGTAACCCGGAAGTAAAAGGTTGTTGGCACCATGTTGGTAGGTTTAGAATTGTTGTATTGCTTCCAAAAATGTCAGGACATCATCTTGTTCACAGGATTTGAACGAACCATCTAATGGGGATAATAGTTGGCATTGAATACCCACCGTCACATTAAAGGTAGTAATATTTAAAGTCTTATTCTATTAAATTATTTTTAATTTCTTAAATTAGTTTGATTATTTAGAAAGTTATGACCTATAATTTCCTTTTTGGCTTTGTATCAATCGTATAAATCAGGCCTGCACCTACTTTGCGGCCCGCGAAGTAACGAAATATTATTTATGCTTCTTATTTTCTGAAAAGCTATTCCCCTATGTACTATTTTCTTTTGGCCCGCAGAAGATTTTCATCAAGTGTTACGGCCCACCTTAAAATAATAAATTGCATTTTAAGTTGTGCAGGCCTGGTTTTACGGTCGGTCTTACAATAATAAATTACATTTTTAGTTGTGCAGGCCAGGCATAAATCTTATAAATGTATGATTAGTTAAGAATTAGTATGATACATGACTTTGATTCCCCCCCCCCAAAACACCCTTTCTGACCAATAAGGGATGCTCCTGGGTGCCATCCATGGCTTAACAGTGCCACACATGGCTTGACAGTGCAGTCCCTGGTTTGAGAGTGCTATGCATGGCTTGACAGTGCCATCCAGGGCTTGACAGAGCCACCCATGGCTTGACAATGACACCCATGGCTTGACAGTGCCACCCATGGCTTGACAGTGCCATCCATGGCTTGACAGTGCCACCCATGGCTTGACAGTGCCACCCATGACTTGACAGTCCCACCAATGGCTTGACAGTACCACCCATGGCTTGACAGTGACACCCATGGCTTGACAGTGCCACCCATGACTTGACAGTACCATCCATGGCTTGACAGTACCACACATGGCTTGACAGTACCACCCATGGCTTGACAGTGCCACCCATGGCTTGACAGTGCCATCCATAGCTTGACAGACAGTGCCATCCATGGCCTGACAGTGCCACCCACATCCATAGCTTGAGGGACAGTGCCCTCCATGGCTTGACAGTGCCACCCATGGCTTGACAGTGCCATCCATGGCTTGACAGTGCCACCCAAGGCTTGACAGTGCCACCCATGACTTGACAGTCCCACCCATGGCTTGACAGTGCCATCCATTGCTTGACAGTGCCATCCATGGCTTAACAGTGCCACCCATAGCTTGACAGTGCCATCCCTGGTTTGAGAGTGCTATGCATGGCTTGACAGTGCCATCCAGGGCTTGACAGAGCCACCCATGGATTGACAATGACACCCATGGCTTGACAGTGCCATCCATGGCTTGACAGTGCCACCCATGGCTTGACAGTGCCACCCATGACTTGACAGTCTCACCCATGGCTTGACAGTGCCACCCATGGCTTGACAGTGACACCCATGGCTTGACAGTGCCACCCATGACTTGACAGTGCCATCCATGGCTTGACAGTACCACACATGGCTTGAAAGTACCACCCGTGGCTTGACAGTGCCACCCATGGCTTGAGGGACAGTGTCCTCCATGGCTTGACAGTGCCACCCATGGCTTGACAGTGCCATCCATGGCTTGACAGTGCCACCCATGGCTTGACTGTGCCATCCATGGCTTGCCAGTGCCACCCATGGCTTGAAAAGGTACCCACCCATAGCTTGCCAGTGCCATCCATGGCTTGACAGTTCCACCCATGGCTTGAGTGACAGTGCCACCCATGGCTTGACAGTGCCATCCATGGCTTGAGTGACAGTGCCACCCATGGCTTGACAGTGCCACCCATGGCTTGACAGTGCCATCCATGGCTTGACAGTGCCACCCATTGCTTGACAGTGCCACCCATGGCCTGCCAGTGGCATCCATGGCTTGACAGTGCCACCCGTGGCTTGACATCGCCATCCATGTCTTGACAGTGCCATGCATGGCTTGACAGTGCCATCCATGGCTTGACAGTGCCATGCATGGCTTGACAGTGCCACCCATGGCTTGACAGTACCACCCATTGCTTGACAGTGCCACCCATGGCTTGAGGGACAGTGCCATCCATGGCTTGATAGTGCCATCCATGGCTTGACAGTGCCACCCATGGCTTGACAGTACCATCCATTGCTTGACAGTGCCACCTATGGCTTGCCAGTGCCATCCATGGCTTGACAGTGCCACCCGTTGCTTGACAGTGCCATCTATGGCTTGACAGTGCCATCCATGCCTTGACTGACGGTGCCATCCATGGCTTGACAGTGCCACCCATGGCTTGACAGTGCCATCCATGGCTTGACAGTGCCACCCATGGCTTGACAGTGCCACCCATGGCTTGCCAGTGCCATCCATGGCTTGACAGTGCCACCCATGGCTTGACAGTGCCATCCATGGCTTGACAGTGCCATCCATGGCTTGAGTGACGGTGCCATCCATGGCTTGACAGTGCCACCCATGGCTTGACAGTGCCATCCATGGCTTGACAGTGCCACCCATGGCTTGACAGTGCCACCCATGATTTGACAGTGCCACCCATTGCTTGACATGTACATAGTGATGGGGTGGGCGGCGTGTATAAATTTGTTGTTAAAACAAGCTGTTTTTTTTTAACTTAAATAAATTTATGCAATTTTTGAATGTCATTATTTTATGCTTGCTAATATGTTTATGTGCAGAGTGGTGAGTCTAAAACTAGGTGGGGTGCCGCGCTATATAGGATCACTGTAGATTCATGATAATATCAAGTCTCAAGTAAGAGTAGTAGGTATTACTAACAGTGCTTTTTATGTTAAAAAAATAAATGGTGCCGAAATAACATCCTGTTATTCTTTAACGGGACATCCATAATGATGTCAAGCAGACATCCATAATGATATCAAGCAGCCATCCATAATGATGTCAAACAGCAATCCATAATGATGTCAAGAAGTCATACATAATGATGTCAAACAGCCATCCATAATGATGTCAAGAAGTCATCCATAATGATGTCAAGCAGCCATCCATAATGATGTCAAGCAGTCATACATACTGATGTCAAGCAGTCATACATAATGATGTCAAACAGCCATCAATAATGATGTCAAGCAGTCATCCATAATGATGTCAAGCAGTCATCCATAATGATGTCAAACAGCCATCATAATGATGTCAAGCAGTCATCCATAATGATTTCAATGTGCTAATGTGACACATCAACGTTGTACCCTTCGGAACTCCCCCTATCCAACTCTCCCCTACCCAACTCGCTTCTACCTAACTCTTCCCTATTCAACTCTTCCCTACCCAACTCTCCCTACCCAACTCTCCCTACCCAACTCTCCCCTACCCAACTCTCCCTACCCAACTCTCCCTACCCAATTTTCTCCTACCCAGCTCATCCTATCCAACTTTATCCTAACAAACTCTCCCTACCCAACTTTATCATACCCAACTCTCCCTACCCAAATTTCTCCTAACCAACTCTCCCTACCCAACTTTTTCCTACCCAACTATCCCTACCATACTTTCTCCTAACAAACTCTCCCTATCCAACTCTCCCCTACCCAACTCTATCCTACCCAACTTTAACCCAACTCACCCCTACCCAGCTGTCCTACCAAACTCCCTACCTACCTCTCCACAACCCAATTCTCCACTATCCAACTCTTCCCTATCCAACTCTCCGCTACCTATCTAACTTTCCCCTACCCAACTCTCCCCAAAAAACGCTCCACTACCCAACTGTCTTCTCCCCATTAATGTTGCTATGACCTTCTTTATACTGTTTAGCTGTCAATTTATACTTTCTTAGCTGTACATTAATGTGATCATTTCCTCCTTTAAACTTTCATAGCTGTTCATTAATGTGGCCATGGCCTCCTTTATACTTTCCTAACTGTAAATTAATGTTGTCATTGCCTCCTTTATACTTTCTTAGCTGTCCATTAATGCTGTCATTGCCTCCTTTATACTTTCCTAGCTGTCCATTACTGTGGCCATGGCCTCCTTTATACTTTCATAGCTGACCATTAATGTTGTCATGGTCTCCTTTATACTTTCCTAGCTGTCCATTAATGTTGTCATGGACTACTTTATACGTTCCCAGCTGTACATTAATGTGGTCATTGCCGTCTTTATACTTTCCTAACTGTCCATTTATGTGGCCATGGCCTTCAATATACTGTTTAGCTGTCCATTAATGTTGCCATGGCCTTCTTTATTCCTGCTTAGCTTTCCATTAATGTTGTCATAGTCTACTCTTTACTTTCCTAGCTGTACATTAATGTGGCAAAGAACTTTTTTTATACTCTCCTAGGTGTCCATTTATGTTGCCAAGTACGGTACTTCTTTATACTTACTTAGCTGTCCATTAATGTGGTCACATAACCCTTAAAAAACTGCAGTTCCTAAAAACCACGGGCCCTTACAAAATTGGGGTCTTGAAAGTCTCATAACCGTTACAAGACTGGGGACCCTAAACATCACATAACACGCAGTGAGCGCCACTGAAAGTCACGTAACCTTTAAAAAGCTGGGGCCCCTGAAATCAAAACCCTTAATAAGCTGCGTTCCCTAAAAGCCACGGGCCCTTACAAAATTGAGGCCCCTGAAAGTCTCATAACCGTTACAAAGTTGGAGCCCTTGAAATTCAACTTTACAAAGCTGGGGCCCCAAAAGTCACAGATCCCTTATTAAGCTGGGGGCCCTGAAAGTCACAGACCCCGTATCAAGCTGGGGCCATAAAGTCATATAACCCTTTCAAAGCGGGGGCCGCTAAAAGTCACAAGACCCTTACAAATATTGGACCTCTGAAAATCACAAGACCCTTACAAAGCTAGGGGCCCTGAAATCTCAACACTTACAAAGTGGGCGCCCCTGAAAGTCTTGAAGCCCTTAGAAAGCTGTGGCCCCAGAAAGTCACAAGAGTCTTACAAACATGGGCGCCCGCGGAACACTTTCTAGGGGGGGGGGGGACAAAAAAATCTGATAACTTTCCAGGGGGGGGGGCAAAAATTTTTTAGTAATGTTTTAATGTAGTTCTAATTTACTGTAGCGTATTTGTATGGTGAACGAACGGACAGGGCATCAGCTTAGTTACTTACTCTTTATTTTCTCTTTACTTTAATACATTTTTTGTCTATTTTTGTCTAAATTTTTTTTATCCAATCAATCCGGGGTGGGGAGGGCAAGTTCCCCCACTTGCCCCCCCCCCTCTGCGGGCGCCCATGCTTACAAATATGGTAACCTGAACGTCTCAAGACTGTTACAAAGCTGCGGCCCCTGAAAGTCACAGGGCTCGAACAAAAACATTCAAACTAAATATTTAATAAAATAGAATATATAACCTGTTATTATGGGGATAAAATGTTAAGTCTTTGCAATAACTTCTACCTCCTATTGCAAAAACTCATCACAATTCCTAACTTTAAAAAGAGGTATCTATGTAATGATATTTACGTTTCTAACATGATTTAGTTGTGAGCAAGATTTATCTGCTCCTTTCACGCCCCAAGACTACTTTTTTTACCTTATTACCTTTAAATTACCCCATCTAAATTATCACTAATTATACCGCGTTTTTCACTAAAGAAGTTAATTAAAGGACGATTTCTACGCTAGAGAAATACTTTTGATTTTTCCCGTTTTCGTGCCCTTGAACAAGAACATTTTTTTTTCTTAAAATTGTGAAAAAATAAACTTAAATTTACAAACAAAAAATTTATATATGATAAAAATATATTTTATATTAAAAGAATTTGAGATATTGATATCGTCGTCGAGATTATAAACACACTTTTGCTTTGTCACTTTAACTATACATTATCAGAAAATCGTTAAAAAAAATAAATCCTTTTTCTAAAGAAAAATCTCGCAACCGTTTATACGTCTATAACAGACTTGAGTGTCTTTATATAAATAGATATTTATATTTTTAAATTGTTAATCTTATAAAAATACACACTCACTTTACTTTTCGCAAAGAAAAAAACAAAAATATATTTTAATTTTTTTAAAGGAAAGATTAACCCATCTCCATTTATCAAAATTAATGTTTCAAATGGGTAAAATGATTGGGTTTTGATATTCATGGGTATATTTCTATCAATGTACCCGCGTTTTGTTAACGCCATTGGTAAACATGTGTTTCTTTGTAAAAAGATGTACACATCCTTATTCCTACCACCGAAATGTATGTACCCAAGAAGGTTGATTTTTTTATCAAATTCATTCCTTTATTTTGAGACGTATCTTGTGATGTCTTGGGAAAAAAATGACCGACCTCTCAACCACACCCCCCCCCACCCCACTTCACCCCAATTTAAATAAAATTAATAAAATCTTCGTCCGGGTTGTAGTCCCTTCCATACCGAAACAACGATATTTTGCACTTCATATCGTGTGTTCTTATTTGGATGAGTTATAAGTTGATTGATGAGTGCTATTTGGCTATGGAGTTTCACTGCACTGATTGACTTAAACGGCATTTTCTTATTAGAAGAAAATTTAAAGGTTAAGTTTTTATTATGTTATAAATTTAATAAAAGTATATTTTTGGAATTTAAAAAAAGTAAAAAAAAATGTAAATGTGTTAAATACAAAGCTATATTTTTTTGTGTATTTTAAAAAAAAAAAAAGAATTTAAAAAGCAATCAATTATATTTATTAATTTTTCTTTTAAGAAGGGGAAAATACATTATCAGTAAGGCGCGGTTATTAAATCAAAGAAACGTAATAGTTTTGGCAAACATAGGCGATTCGCGCTATGACATCATTTGCGCGTTTTTTTAGAACAAATTATTTTTAATTTTATTTCGCAATATGAACAACGCACTAAAAGCAACTGATGCTTGGGTTTCCCCGATAAATGAGATTACGATGTAATTCGTACGTCATAGTTTTGCTATTAATTAATTTTTCATAACTTTTAATTTCGGATAAAATGTTTAAAATATTTCCTTAGTTGTTACTTTAAATGTAGTTGTAATTTATAATAATAATACATCAACTTTTACTAACATAAAAGCGTATTGATGTTGGTTTTACCCATTTAAATTTTTTCGATTTACGTAAAATAATAGAAATAAAATATGAATTTTTTTAAGAATCCGAACATCTTTTCCGTTCCTTGGCATTACGTTCAGCATAGCTCATTCTTATATATAACAACGATTGACATTTAGATTTTAAACTATATTTTTGTACAACTTATTTTAGTGGCATTTTTTTATACTTTAGACATTTATTCACTCTTCAGACATTCAATTGACTTCAGACATTCAATTGACTTCAGAAATTCAATTGACTTGAGTCATTCAAGATGGAGCAAGATGTGCCAGAATTCCGGAAGATTGTCGTAAGTAAAACTATATTGAAATCGATTATTTTGGAAAGGGTTCTTAACCAGGGGTTCTCCTACCTAATTGGGGTGTGAGAGGCTGTTTCGGATGGTGCGGAAGATCGAGAAAATCATGTTTACTTGCATTTTTAGGAACATTCTATATCGGCTGCGGAAAATAAGTTTAGAAATCCATAGAAGGATTGCGGGCCTTTTAAAAAAGATCAATAAAAACCTGCCAATGTTCAAAGTTCTACATGAATTTAATAAAGAAGAGAAACCCTTCCTGGCACACATCTGTATCTTTCTGTATCTTTTGTCTATTGTGAGGAGCTTTACTGTTAGAGGAGATTTAAGATGGGGCAACTTAACTGGCGAATTTAAATGTTTATAATGATATTCTACCGATAAAAACATGAATCGTAAGAGATCGTATGACAAGATGACATGAACAGTAAGGCATTGTATGACAAGATGACATGAAAAGTAAGGCATTGTATGACAAGATGACATGAACAGTAAGGCATCGTATGACAAGATGACATGAAAAGTAAGGCATTGTATGACAAGATGACATGAACAGTAAGGCATTGTATGACAAGATGACATGAAAAGTAAGGCATTGTATGACAAGATGACATGAACAGTAAGGCATTGTATGACAAGATGACATGAAAAGTAAGGCATTGTATGACAAGATGACATGAACAGTAAGGCATTGTATGACAAGATGACATGAACAGTAAGGCATTGTATGACAAGATGACATGAACAGTAAGAGATCGTATGGAAAGATGACATGAACAGTAAGGGTTCGTATGACATGATGTCATGAACATAAGAGATTCATGTCAAGATGACACGAACAGTAAGACATTTTATGACAAGATGACGTGAACAGTAAGAGATTGCATGACAAGATGACATGAACAGTAAGACATCGTATGACAAAATGACATGAACAGTAAGAAATTGTATGACAAGATGAAATGAACAGTAAGAGATTGTATGACAAGATGCCATGAACAGTACGAGATTGTATAACAAGATGACAGAAACAGTAAGAGATCTTATGACAAGATGACATTAACACACTGAGGCAAGGCTGACCACAGGAACAGACAGAGACTAGGCTAACCATAGGAACACACTAAGACAAGGCTCACCACAGGAACACACGGAGACAAGTCTGACCACAGAAGCACATTGAGACAAGGCTAACCAAAGGAACACACTGAGACAAGGATGACCATAGGAACACACTGAGACAAGGCTTACCATAGGAACGCACTGAGACAAGGATGACCATAGGAACAAACTGAGACGAGGCTGACCATAGGAACACACTGAGACAAGGCTGACCACAGGAACAAACTAAGACTAGGCTGACCATAGGAACACACTGAGACAAGGCTGACCACAGGAACACACTAAGATAGTTCAGATCACAGGGCAGAATTAGCATTGATCGTCATGTGACCTAAACAATAAATAACTATAAATACTTAAGTATATTAATTATATATCTCTTTACACTGCTGTTGATGCTAATTATAGTTTCTTGTTTTTCGCGTCCACGCACGCGTGCAGGAGGAGGTCTTGGAGGAGATGGCAATCGCCAAAAAGAATCCACCGGTAAGTTGAACATGTTTTACAATTTTTTACCGCGATAAGTTTAAAATGTTTTACAATTATTACCCCGGTAAGTTGAACATGTTTTACAAGTATTATTCCGGTAAGTTGAACCTTTTACAATTATTACCCCGGTAAGTTGAACATGCTTTACAATTATTACCACGGTAAGTTGAACATGCTTTACAATTATTACCCTGATAAGTTGAACATGTTTAACAAGTATTATTCCTTTAAGTTGAACATTTTTTACAAGTATTATTCTGATAAGTTGAACATGTTTTACAATTATTACCCTGGTAAGTTGAACATGTTTTACAAGTATTATTCTGGTAAGTTGAACATGTCAAACATACAAAGTCATACATACAAAGTCAGACATACAAAGTCAAACATACAAAGTCAAACATACAAAGTCAGACATACAAAGTCAGACATACAAAGTCAAACTACAAAGTCAGACATACAAAGTCAAACATACAAAGTCAAACATACCAAGTCAGACATACAAAGTCAAACTACAAAGTCAAACATACAAAATCAAAGCTATACAAAAGTCAAAGCCATGCAAAAGACAAAGCCATACTACGTCAAAGTCATTCTCAGCCAAAGTCACACTAAGTCAAAATCATTGCTTCTATGAATACATGGAAAGGTTTCTGTGATGCAATCCAATACTAAATCTGCTTATTTGTTCAATTCTATTAAGAGCAACACACAGGTTTGCCTTCTTACAATGTCATATCAGAAATACATCAACATAATGTGTTAAATGTATTCAATTACTGATTTACTTATGTACCTATATTTAAATTAATGATATCATAATCATAACAATGTTCGGTGGTCATAAATGACAAAACATTCTATCACTTCATTGATATGAACTAACCCTTTGCTATGAGAGCTCTCAGTTGTTTGGCCCACCCTCCTGTAAATGTGTGAATACGCTGATCCAATGATTTGTGAGCTCGAGGGCAGATCTAGTTATTATACTCTTTAATATGGTTGTTCTGTCCATTTGTTTGTTTGTTTGTGCTGGAAATTTGCATCTACATTTTTGGCACATTTCCAGAAGTCTAATTAACCAGAAACTTAGTTCATTTATTCCTCCCGATATTTCCTGAAGTCCAATTGACCAGAAACTTAGTTCATTTATTCCTCCCGATATTTCCTGAAGTCCAATTGACCAGAAACTTAGTTCATTTATTCCTCCCGATATTTCCTGAGGTCCAATTGACCAGAAACTTAGTTCATTTATTCCTCCCGATATTTCCTGAAGTCCAATTGACCAGAAACTTAGTTCATTTATTCCTCCCGATATTTCCTGAAGTCCAATTGACCAGAAACTTAGTTCATTTATTCCTCCCGATATTTCCTGAAGTCCAATTGACTAGAAACTTTGTTCATTTATTCATCCCGATATTTCCTGAAGTCCAATTGACCAGAAACTTAGTACATTTATTCCCGCTAAAAAACCAACAATTTTTCCTATTTTTAAAGAGACAGAAGAAGGAAATATTATGGCACCGATTTCGTGAAACAGAATTCACGATAACTTCCCTAAATGAGATTATTTTTTTTTTTTAAATATCTCTTGTGTGTTTGGTGCGTACTATTTTCTTGTGTTCTTCTGAAATCGTTCTTGAAATAAATCTGTTGTATAAATGCGGGTGGGGCAGTAGAAGATTAATAAAGTTCAGGAGCAGGGAAAAAAATGTTTGGTTGCGAGCCTCTTGTGGGGGGTGGGGACGTCCCACTAATGGGATTCTTAAAAATTGCGTTACTTGTTTTCTGACCCATCCCCCAACCCCACCGCCCCCCCACCTTTTTTCTCAATGTATCATCCCCCCCCACCGTTGTTTCTCAATGTATCATCCCCCCCAACTCCCCCCCCCCTCCATTAGGGGACGTCTCACTAATGGGATTCTTAATAATTGCGTTACTTGTTTTCTGACCCATCCCCCAACCCCACCGCCCCCCCACCTTTTTTCTCAATGTATCATCCCCCCCCACCTTTGTTTCTCAATGTATCATCCCCCCCAACTCCCCCCCCCCTCCATTCTGCTGCTCGTCTGTTTGAAATTTTATTAAAACAAAAAATCATATAAATCACAATATGTGCACCAGCTGCTTCAGTAAATGCACAGTGTCTAAGCATATCTAGAAGGAAAGACTAAATATAAGCTCTTTGGACCTGTCTTATCTTAAGTCAGCCAGTGAAAGGAAAGACTAAGCTATGAACTCGTTGGACCTGTCTTATCAGTAATCACCCAGTGAAAGAAAAGACTAAAATATGAGCTCTTAGGACCTGTCTTATCTTGAGACAGCCACTGAAGGGAAAGACTAGACTATGAACTCTTAGGATCTGGCTGCCCTTAATACAGCCAATGAAAGGAAAGACTCAACTATTCACTCTTAGGACCTGGCTGCCCTTGAAACAGCCAGTGAAAGGAAAGACTAAACTATGAATTCTTAGTAGTAGGACACGATGTGGGAGTTAGGATGATGGGAGTAGGACAAAATGTGGGAGTTAGGGTGAGTGGAGTAGGACACGACGTGGGAGTTAGGGTGAGAGGAGTAGGATGTGATGTGGGAGTTAGGGTGATGGGAGTAGGACACGATGTGGGAGTTAGGGTGAGAGGAGTAGGATGTGATGTGGGAGTTAGGGTGAGAGGAGTAGGATGCGATGTGGGAGTTAAGGTGAGAGGAGTAGGATGTGATGTGGGAGTTAGGGTGAGAGGAGTAGAACACGATGTGGGAGTTAGGGTGAGAGGAGTAGAACACGATGTGGGAGTTAGGTTGAGAGGAGTAGAACACGATGTGGGAGTTAGGGTGATGGGAGTAGGACACGATGTGGGAGTTAGGGTGATGGGAGTAGGACACGATGTGGGAGTTAGGGTGATGAGAGTAGGACACGAAGTGGGATTTAGGGTGAGAGGAGTAGGACACGATGTGGGAGTTAGGGTGATGGGAGTAGAACACGATGTGGGAGTTAGGGGGAGAGGAGTAGAACACGATGTGGGAGTTAGGGTGAGAGGAGTAGGACACGATGTGGGAGTTAGGGTGAGAGGAGTAGAACACGATGTGGGAGTTAGGGTGAGAGGAGTAGAACACGATGTGGGAGTTAAAGTTTACCCGAGAAAATTCAAGAACCAAACAACTAGTAGAATTTATATTGCATGACATTTTATCAGAACCAACTAGTACAATTCATACGACATGATATTTAGTCCCAACCAACTGGTAGAATTCATATGACATGACATTTAATCACAACTATCCAGAGATGTCAAGTGGTTTTTGGAGGCTTCATGACACTTTGAGTTTTTAAAATTAAAATAAAAAAAAAAATAAATGGTTCAGCTTATTCAATTTAACAGAAATAGATTTATTTCACCTCACTCCCCCCCCCCCCCATTTAAAATAAAAAAAAAAAAAAAAAATAAAGGTTTCAGCTTTTTAAATTAAAAAAAAAAGGTTTATTTTCCCCCCCCCCCCCCCCCCCGACTCCGACTGCCTTCAGGGATACTGGGCCGACGAGACAGCTCAGCATCGATATCAGTTCTAAGACCCGTAGCTAATACTTGTTTTTAGATCCCGACCAGACAACATAGTTTGCCAATAGACAGACAGAAATAAAGCAAAATGCATAAACACTAACATACTTAGACCAAACATTGACAACACATTGTGGAAACTACAGCGACAACACCGGCATCTAATGACTCAGATGCGGACGGACCGAATCGCCGTACGATCCTAAAATAAGTGGCGAGAGAGAATCATAGACCAAACATGTCGGCATCGCTTGCTAGTCCCAGAAACTTTAGAGCCCAACTTAATAACACACTAGACCACCATAATAATGTACTAAGCCACACCATTATACCACACTAAACACCACAATAGCACACTCGACTCTACCATAACACACTCTGCCACACCATGAAATACACTAGAACACACCATCATAACAAACTAGACCAAACCATATTAACACACTAGACCACAACATAATAACAAACTTGGCCAAACCATAATAACAAACTTGGCCAAACCATAATAACAAACTTGGCCAAACCATAATAACAAACTTGGCCAAACCATAATAACACACTATACCTCAACATAACTCTCATCATAGCCCCCTTAACACCTCTCTAAATAAACTAATTAATTTCCTCGGTTCATCACTGCTCTCATAGCCCCATTACCTTCCCTGGGTTCATCACTGCTCTCATAGCCCCTTACCTTCCCCGAGTTCAACACTGCTCTCATGTTTATTGTGTTGTCAGTTGATTTCACTGACAGTGCTCCCTCTATAGTACTCCTTAAAAGGTATCTTTCAATTAAGTCATCTTGACGCAAAATAGAAACGGTTTAGTTTTTGCCATTATTGCTAGATAAGATTTCCAACGTACCTTTAGATTGTTTGGATATATTTAGCCAATGGGATTAGGGTTAGAGTTAGGGTTAGGGTTTGCCAATGGGATTACTTTAGTTCTAAAAAATAACCAGAGATCTGATACCATAAAATAACATTAAATATTAGTGCAAATTTTTAAAAAAAAATTATTTTAAAAAAAAAATATATATATGCATATAATATAAAAACACACAAGAAGATTTCTTACACAGCTTCCAGGACAACATATGTCAACTGTCCTATTTAAGGCAACCAATGTTTCGTATCTCTTTGGAAACTTCAACTCTTCCTATCCTGCATTTCAGGATGTACTTCATCAACTTCATCTTTAGAGTTGGACACAGTCAGCTGGTCAAGGACGAATGTGTTTAAGACAAACCGTGTCCATGAGGATCAGCAGCTTACAAAGTTGTCCAATCAAAGTTGTCCAACCAAAGTTGACCAATCAAAGTCTGATTTTATCAAAACTCTATTCCATTAAGTACTCAAACCAGGAATCTAACATCTCTCTGAAGTAACCTGACAAAGCAAACTAAACCAAAAAAAAAATAATAATAATAAGTCAGTGGAATCTACGTGAAGTAATGAGCATTTCGTATTACTTACTCTGAAAGTAATGGAAGTTACAATAGAAGTAGAGAGCAAAGGAAGCTAGAAATAAAAAAAATAATTGAAAAGGGAACTAACGAATAATTACATCGTAAACAGCACAATCCATCAAGGTAACTCACAATCCATCAAGGTAACGCCACAATCCATCAAGGTAACGCCACAATCCATCAAGGTGACGTCACAATCCATCAAGGTAACGTCACAAGCCATCAAGGTAACGTCACAATCCATCAAGGTCACGCCACAGTACATCAAGGCAGATTTCAAAGCTATCAAAACACAATCATATATCAAGGTGACGCCACAATCCTATATCAAGGTGACATCAAGACTCAATCAGACGCGTAACCATGAAGGCTGAGGACTCCACATCCAGCTTTGATGTCCCTGACGCTAACTTCGCACCTGACGCCGAATTATTACCTGACGCCAACATCGTACCTGACGTCACCATCGCTTTACAAGAGGTTATTATTTATTAACTTTGAAATAAATTTACAACTCTAAAAAAGGTCATAGCCTACACCCTTGCTTGGGTTAGGGTTAAGGTCAATGATAGAGGGGCAAGGTCACTCTCTACATCCTTGGTTTACAACCTTTATCACTTTCTCATCATATGCACACAATGTGATTATCCAATAGTCATATGCACTCAATGTTATTATCCAATAGTCATATGCACTCAATGTGATTATCCAATAGTCATATGCACTCAATGTGATTATCCAATCGTCATGCAGACAACGTGATTATCCAATAGTCATATGCTCTCAATGTGATTATCCAATAGTCATATGCACACAATGTGATTATCCAATAGTCATATGCACACAACGTGATTATACAATAGTCATATGCACACAATGTGATTATCCAATAGTCATATGCATACAATGTGATTATCCAATAGTCATATACACACAATGTGATTATCCAATAGTCATATGCACACACTGTGATTATCCAATAGTCATATGCATACAATGTGATTATCCAATAGTCATATGCACTAAATGTGATTATCCAATAGTCATATGCACTCAATGGGATTATCCAATAGTCATATGCACACAATGTGATTATACAATAGTCAGATGCACACAATATGATTATCCAATAGTTTTATGCACTCAATGTGATTATACAATAGTCATATGAACACAATGTGATTCCCAAAACGTCCAATGCACACAATGGGAGTTTACATTAGCAATATGCATAGAATGCGTTTCTCAAAAGCGCTGTGCACATAATGTGATTATCCAATAGTCATACGCACACAGTTTGATCCTCCAAAAGTCGTATGCACACAAAGAGTGCTAACGCTCAAATATTAAGACGTAAGAACTATGAAAAGCAAATAAATCATGACTTTTCTGATTTGTAACAATAGTCACATTGAGACATGACTGTATTGATTTGTACTCATGGTAGAGTTTGAATAATGACTGCACTGATTTGTACCCATGGTATAAATTGAATCATGACTGTACCGATTTGTTCCCAGTCCGAGACGAGCGCTAGTGCCACGATTAATATGGATTATTCTTAAATGTGCATACAGTGTGACACATAGATGCTGGCATAGAAGCTGGCATAGAAGCCGGCATAGAAGCTGGCATAGAAGCTGGCATAGATCCTGGCATAGAAGCTGGCATAGATCCTGGCATAGAACCTGGCATAGAACCTGGCATAGAAGCTGGCATAGAAGCTGGCATAGAAGCTGGCATAGAAGCTGGCATAGAAGCTGGCATACAATCTGGCATAGAACTTGGCATCGAAGCTGGCATAGAACCTGGCATAGAGCTTGGCATAGAACCTGGCATAGATGCTGGCATAGACGCTTGGCATAGAAGCTGGCATACAATCTGGCATAGAACTTGGCATAGAAGCTGGCATAGATGTTGACATACAAGCTTGCATAGAAGCTGTCATAGATGCTGGCACAGAAGCTGGCATAGGAGCTGGCAGAGGGGTTTGAACAGAAGCTGGCATAGGGGCTGGCACAGAAGCTGGCATAGGAGGTGGCACAGGGGCTGGAACAGAAGGTGGCATAGGAACTGGCATAGAAAATGACATAGATGCTGGCATAGGAGCTGGTATGGGAGCTGGCATAGACACACGGGCCATGAAAGTAATCAATCATGGGAACTAGGGTCGGAAGATAAACAAAATATTGATTCACAAACTAAATCGTTCTGAGTTTTCTGATGCGCAAAATGTCCTAAATGTTTCAATTTTATACCAGATGTATACTCTGCATTCCAACATATTACTGGTACCGTTGTCTTACTTCAATACACACACAGCCATTCTTGGTCCACACTTCACAACACACAGCCATACTTTGTCTACACTTATCTACACACAGCCATACTTGGTTCTTACTTCACAACACACACAGCCATTGGGTCCACACTTCACAACACACACAGCCATACTTGGTCCACACTTCACAACATACACAGCCATTAGGTTTACACTTCACAACACACACAGCCATTAGGTTTACACTTTACAACATACACAGCCATTAGGTCCACGCATCACAACACACACAGCCATTAGGTCCGCACTTCACAACATACACAGCCATTAGGTCCACACATCACAACACACACAGCCATTAGATCCGCACTTCACAACACACACAGCCATTAGGTCCACACTTTACAACATACACAGCCATTAGGTCCACACATCACAACACACACAACCATTAGATCCGCACTTCACAACACACACAGCCATTCGGTCCACACTTCACAACACACACAGCCATTAGGTTCACACTTCACAACACACACAGCCATACTTGCTCCACACTTTACAACACACACAGCCATTAGGTTCACACTTAACAACACACACAGTCATACTTGCTCCACATTTCACAACACACACAGCCATTAGGTCCACACTTTATAATACACAAGCCATTAGGTACACACTTCACAACACACACAGCCATTAGGTCAACACTTCACAACACACAGAGCCATTAGGTCCACACTTAACGATGCACACAGCCATACTTTCTCCACACTTTACAACACACACAGCCATTAGGACCTAACTTCACAACACAAACAGCCATTAGGTCCACACTTTACAACACACACAGCCATTAGGACCTAACTTCACAACACACACAGCCATTAGGACCTAACTTCACAACACACACAGCCATTAGGACCTAACTTCACAACACACACAGCCATTAGGACCTAACTTCACAACACACACAGCCATTAGGCCCTAACTTCACAACACATACAGCCATTAGGACCTAACTTCACAACACACTATCCTAACAGTTGGACAGAGTAGTAATTATTCTGATAGTTGGACACCAATTAAAGCAGTCTCCAAATACAATTTTTTTATACATAAATATTCCTGATAAATTTTTTAAATCAACTGAAACTGTAACATATGTTTGATATCATCTAAAACTGTAAAATATGTGTGATATCAATTGAGACTGTAACATCCATTAAATATTGCTGTGAACATGTAATGTTATTTCAAGGATAAAGACACTATAGAATTTTACTGTGTTTGACAGACACAGATAGAAGTGGTCGATACTGTCTCAACATCAAGCAACCAAGAGTTCCAGATAAGTGAGCTACTCTCTCTGCTTAGAGATGAACTCTTGGAGTTGAAAGAAAAGTTCAGGAAAATTGTAAGTTACATGTGTATTCTGTTCGTTACATGTGTATTCTGTTCGTTAAATGTGTTTTCTGTTCGTTACATGTGTATTCTGTTCGTTACATGTGTATTCTGTTCGTTACATGTGTATTCTGTTCGTTACATGTGTATTCTGTTCGTTACATGCGTATTCTGTTCGTTACATGCGTATTCTGTTCGTTACATGCTTATTATGTTCGTTACATGCTTATTATGTTCGTTACATGCTTATTCTGTTCGTTACATGTGTATTCTATTCGTTACATGCGAATTCTGTTCGTTACATGCGTATTCCGTTCGTTACATGCGTATTATGTTCGTTACATGCGTATTCCGTTCGTTACATGCGTATTATGTTCGTTACATGCGTATTATGTTCGTTACATGCGTATTATGTTCGTTACATGCGTATTATGTTAGTTACATGTTTATTCTGTTCGTTACATACGTATTATGTTCGTTACATGCGTATTCTGTTCGTTACATCCTTATTATGTTCGTTACATGCGTATTCTGTTCGTTACATGCGTATTCCGTTCGTTACATGCGTATTCTGTTCGTTACATGCGTATTATGTTAGTTACATGTTTATTCTGTTCGTTACATACGTATTATGTTCGTTACATGCGTATTCTGTTCGTTACATGTGTATTCTGTTCGTTACATGTGTATTCTGTTCGATACATGTGTATTCTGTTCGTTACATGTGTATGCTGTTCGTTACATGTGTATGCTGTTCGTTATATGTGTATTCTGCTCGTTACATGTGTATTCTGTTCGTTACATGTTTATTCTGTTCGACAGGATGTTTATAACTTACATGATATATGATGTGAGAGCTTTCTGAAAAATGTATTATTTCATATATTCCTTGTAGTGTGTGGAGGACCTTGTAGTGTGTGCAGGACCTTGTAGTGTGTGCATGACCTTGTATTGTGTGCATGACCTTGTATTGTGTGCATGACCTTTTAGTGTGCATGACCTTGTTGTGTGTGCATGACCTTGTAGTGTGTGCATGACCTTGTAGTGTGTGCATGACCTTGTAGTGTGTACATGACCTTGTATTGTGTACATAACCTCGTAGTGTGTGCATGACCTTGTAGTGTGTGTATGACCTTGTAGTATGTGCATGACCTTGTCGTGTGTGCATGACCTTGTAATGTGTGCATGACCTTGTTGTGTGTGCATGGCCTTGTAGTGTGTGTATGTCTGTGTATAGTGTGCATGTTCATGTAGTGTGTACATGTCCCTGTACTATGTCTATGTCGGGTGTGCATGTCCCTATTAAGTGTGTATGTCTCTATAGTATGTGCATGTCCTTATAATGTGTGTGCATTTCTCTTTAGTGTGTGCATATCACTATAGTGTATGAATGTCCCTATAATGTGTGCATATCCCTGTACTATGTAGGATGTGCATGTACCTGTAGTGTGTGCATGCCTCTGTGGTTATTGTGCATGTCCCAGAAGTGGGTCCATGTCTCTGTAATTTGTGCATGCCTCTGTAGTTTGTGCATGTCCCTGTAGTGTGTGCAAGTCCCTAGAGTATGTGCATGTTCCGGGAATGTGTGTACATGTCCAGGGAATGTGAGTACATGCCTACTGTGATTAAGATACGTCCACAGCTACGGGCCTGCTGTCAAGTAAGTATCGGCTCACGAATGTAGCTTGTCATTGAGAGAAGGTCATTCTTGATCTCATCATCATCAGCTGTTTGTCACACTGACACAACTCATTCATCATCTTCTGTGTGTCACACAAACACAACTCATTCATCATCAGCTGTCTGTCACACGACCACAACTCATTCATCAATCAGCTGTTTGTCAAACTTACACAACTCATTCATCATCAGCTGTCGGTCATACTAACACAACTCATTCATCATCAGCTGTCTGTCACACTAACACAACTCATTCATCATCAGCTGTCGGTCACACTAACACAACTCATTCATCATCAGCTGTCGGTCACACTAACACAACTCATTCATCATCAGCTGTCGGTCACACTAACACAACTCATTCATTATCAGCTGTCTGTCACACTAACACAACTCATTCATCATCAGCTGTCGGTCACACTAACACAACTCATTCATCATCAGCTGTCGGTCACACTAACACAACTCATTCATCATCAGCTGTCGGTCACACTAACACAACTCATTCATCATCAGCTGTCGGTCACACTAACACAACTCATTCATCATCAGCTGTCGGTCACACTAACACAACTCATTCATCATCAGCTGTCGGTCACACTAACACAACTCATTCATCATCAGCTGTCGGTCACACTAACACAACTCATTCATCATCAGCTGTCGGTCACACTAACACAACTCATTCATCATCAGCTGTCGGTCACACTAACACAACTCATTCATCATCAGCTGTCGGTCACACTAACACAACTCATTCATCATCAGCTGTCGGTCACACTAACACAACTCATTCATCATCAGCTGTCGGTCACACTAACACAACTCATTCATCATCAGCTGTCGGTCACACTAACACAACTCATTCATCATCAGCTGTCGGTCACACTAACACAACTCATTCATCATCAGCTGTCGGTCACACTAACACAACTCATTCATCATCAGCTGTCGGTCACACTAACACAACTCATTCATCATCAGCTGTCGGTCACACTAACACAACTCATTCATCATCAGCTGTCGGTCACACTAACACAACTCATTCATCATCAGCTGTCGGTCACACTAACACAACTCATTCATCATCAGCTGTCGGTCACACTAACACAACTCATTCATCATCAGCTGTCGGTCACACTAACACAACTCATTCATCATCAGCTGTCGGTCACACTAACACAACTCATTCATCATCAGCTGTCAGTCACACTAACACAACTCATTCATCATCAGCTGTCGGTCACACTAAAACAACTCATTCATCATCAGCTCTCAGCTCTCATATTACTATCTATTTCTCCTAAAGGAATCCACCCTCGGGGTGGAGAGAGTGACTTTGAAAGATGTAGGTGATAAGGTCATGGTTATTGTTGAGTCCATAGCTGGGACGACAATGATACCTGTCCCACCTCTTACTGGGATGACGTCAGTGGAACCTGGTACAATCAACATGAAGTCTCCGTCAGGTACTTGGTACAAATCAAATAAGTCAAGTAGACAGTTCTAGTGACTTCCCTTAATTACACATACTTTAAAGAAATGTCATAATACATGCCTTTCATATTACATGCCTTTCATATTACATGCCTTTCATATTACATGCCTTTCATATTACATGACTTTCAAATTTTGTGACTCGCCTAATGACTAGTCCAAATACAACAACTCTTTTTGGAAATAGTTGTCTATGGCTTAAAATCTATGGCGTCATGTCATTTGTTTTGTGAAATGAAAAGTACTTATCATCCCGTTATAACAAGTGTTATAAGGTCACACAGAAAATCTATGCAGTAATATATGTCACCAAGAATATATATGTAGTAAATTAGGTAACCAAAGAATATCTCGGTACTGTTATAGGTCACCAAGAATGTCTGTGTAGTATTATAGGTCACCAAGAATGTCTGTGTAGTATTATAGGTCACCAAAAATGACTGTGTAGTATTATAGGTCACCAAGAATGTCTGTGTAGTATTATAGGTCACTAAGAATGTCTGTGTAGTATTATAGGTCACAAAGAATGTCTTTGTAGTATCATAGATCACTAAGAATGTCTGTGTAGTATTTTAGGTCACCAAGAATGTCTGTGTAGTATTATAGGTCACGAAAAATGTCTGTGTAGTATTATAGGTCACCAAGAATGTCTGTGTAGTATTATAGGTCACAAAGAATGTCTGTGTAGTATCATAGATCACTAAGAATGTCTGTGTAGTATTACAGGTCACCAAGAATGTCGGTGTAGTATTATAGGTCACTAAGAATGCCTGTGTAGTATTATAGGTCACCAAGAATGTATGTGTAGTATTATAGGTCACCAAGAATGTCTGTGTAGTATTATAGGTCACCAAGAATGTCTGTGTAGTATTTTAGGTCACCAAGAATGTCTGTTTAGTATTATAGGTAAGAGCCACATTTTCTTGCAAATGTTATTTTATCAGGCCAGGATTCAATGTGTTTTTGCTTACTACTTGATGAATCTCTTTATCTCTATAACCGTTTTGATCAGAGTTTGTTTTGCTGTTAAATTGTTCCATGATTTGGCGTTTGTATTTTGCACATGAGAGAATAGGAACTTATCTCCTTAGCAACCCTGAAATAGGAACTTATCTCCTTAGCAACCCTCAGCGCAACAATTTTGTCTAGCTTAAACAGTTGGCAGTTTTTTTACCCTGTGTAGTAGCCATGATAGTGGGGTAGCCCTGTTAGTGGAGTAGCCATGGTAGTGGGGTAGCTATATTTTTGGGTTAGCCATTTAAATTGAACGTAAATATATGTCCCAATATTTAATGGTTGCAGTTCACTGTATGTTTTTCTTTTGTTGACAGCTGCAGTTGTCGCCCTTCAACAAACAATGGCCACCAAAGGGGCACCACCCGGAGGTATGACAGCAGAACAACTCCAAGACTTTAAAAAAATGACTTTGCAAATTAATGCCCTGCAACAAAAAATAAAAGATCTTGAGGTAAAAATAGCATTTATTTTGGATTTGTTTTTACTTCAGTTTATATTCAGTGTATTATAGAAAAATATTATTAGCTTAGAGATAAGCGATACAAAAACCAATCAATAGATATTTTAATAATGATGATCAAAACTAGAGATAAAATAAATGGCCATTTAGGTGGTTATGTATTTTTAGATTATGTAGTTTGTACATCCGACATAGAACTACTCTGCATTACTTTAAGGCCATATTACCTACCTAGGGAGTTCACTCAAATATGTATCATCCTTACTTACATTCAACCTAATGCTAACAAGGAGCAGGCTGCTGAGAGACTTTTGGATGTAATCCATGATTTTGAAACAAAAAACCCAGACTCCGTTCGTCTTGTTATGGGGGACTTTAATGAAATATCAATGAATAAATCCATGCCAACTTACATCCAGTACGTTACTTGCCCCACGCGACAAGACCGAACTCTGGACATGTGTAATAGTAAAATAAAAAATGCCTACACATGTCGAGCTTTATTTCCTCTAGGAGAATCCGACCACACAATGGTCCGCCTAACGACCACGCAATGGTCCGCCCAACGACCACGCAATGGTCCGCCTAACGACCACGCAATGGTCAGCCTAACGACCCCACAATGGTCCGCCTAACGCCATGCTATAAGCCAGTTTTAAAAACAAACAAAAATGCAATCAAAAAGTATTGAACTGTGGTCAGATGAGGCGACAGAAAAACTTGAAGCCAGCCTGATTGGAATGTACAGCCTGGGTCACGTTTATCAACACTTGCCCGGACATTGACGAGCTCACAAACACCGTCAATTCCTACATTAAGTTCTGTGGAAACGAAATTATTCCCAAAAAACAATCCAAGTATTCAACAACAACAAACCCTGGATGAGCAGAGAAATAAAGGAGGCCATACTCCACAAGAATGAGGCCATCCACCACAAGAATGAGGCCATCCACCACAAGAAGGAGGCCATCCACCACAAGAAGGAGGCGTTCCACCACAAGAAGAACATGTTTAAGATTAATCATCAGGAATTCATTAAAGCTTAAAAAATTATTGAAAGAATATATATATTAGGGGTAAAAACAATACAATCAAAAAATCGAAAAATTATTCACTACTAACAATTCAAAGGCTTGTTGGGTAGGACTCAAGCAAATAATAGGATATACTCCTAAGCGAGAATGCTTATGTGTTGAGGACGTAAGGAATTTTGTTAACGACTTAAATGACTTTTATTGTCGTTTTGACAGCCTGGACTTTGGAAGAGTGCACAATGAGATGATGAATTCATTTCAAGATGGCAGTAGTACACAGGATGGTAGTTTGTTGTTTACCGAACAGAGAGTGATGTCATTATTTAAACAAGTGGACGCAGCCAAGGCCTCGGGATCAGACAAATTAAGTGGTCGGCTCATTAAACTATGTTCAGAGCAGCTCTCCTACATTTGTTGTTACATATTTAATAAATCTTATGTAACTCACACAATACCAGCAATATGGAAAACTTCAGAAATCATACCAATTCCAAATAAAATTAAGGCAACGTGCAACAACGACTTACGACCTGTTGCTCTTACCTCTATTGTCATGAAATGTTTTGAGAAAATAACTCTGAAATAAATTTTTAATGAAGTACACCAAAAACTTGACCCCCACCAATTAGCCTACAAACCTGCCAGAAGTACGGAGGACGCAATCTTACTATTGTTGGAGAGACTTTACCATCAACTAGACAGTCCTAAAACATACGCCAGAGTGCTATTCTTAGACATCAGCATTTAACACCATCCAACCACACCTTATGATAAAGAAACTTTCCTCGTTAGGTGTCAATTTAATTATTCAGTCTTGGATACTGAACTTTTTAACAAATCGACCACAATATGTCAAAGTAAATAACCAAGTGTCTCTAGCCAGAGAAATAAGCACTGGGGCACAACAAGGCTGCGTTCTCTCCCCTGTATTGTATACAATATATACAAATGATATTCAAAGCTCAACACCGTTCCAATCTTAAAATTTGCTGATGATACCATCATTGTTGGCTTAATATCTGAAAGAGAAGGCCTATACCGTAACTTAGTTACAAGCTTTATCAATTGGTACGATGAAAATTTTCTCCAGTTGAATGTCTCAAAAACAAAAGAAATGGTTGTTAATTTCAGGAGGGGGAAACACCAGATTACAGATCTCAACATAAAAAATCAAAATGTGGAGAAAGTGGAGGCGTACAAGTACTTAGGTGTCACCATGAATAATAAGCTAACATGGCATGAGCACTGTCAAATCCTGTATAAGAAATTCAACCAAAGAATGTTCTACCTCAAAAAACTGTACAATTTCGGCGTAAACAAGCAAGTCGTTAACTTATTCTACAGTGCAACTATTTGAAGCCTGCTTAATTTCAGTATTACCTGCTGGTGTGAGAATTCAACGTCTGATATTAAACACCGCATAAACCGACTAATCAAGAAAGCTAGGAACATAACACAAACTAAACATCCTTCACTTGAAGAACTATTTGAAGAAAGATATTTTTGTAAAACTAAACACATTTTGGAAGATACATCCTAACCTCTTCATCCTAGATACTTAGGATCGGGCCGTTCGGGACGACTTCTTTCCATCAGGGCGAGAACTGACCGATATAAAAATTCTATTGTTCCCCAATCTGTACGAATTTACCGGCATGCTTTCTCTGAAGTCACACATCTGAATGAGAACTAATAAGTCCCCGATTTTGCTAAGAGAACTCACTGAATGGCTGTTTGAAATAATTTATTTTAAATGTCTTGTGTTCAAATTGTTTTATTTTTTAGCTGAAAATGTATCATGCAATCAAAAAACATTTCCATTTATTTGGATCAATAAAAGAATCTTATGTTATCTTAAGTGGACCTGATGTTTTGTATTGCCTGGTGCAGAGCCTCGTTTGCCTAAGAACGGTTATGCTTTGTTGATGCTAATTGAGTAATAAATAGCCAAAACTGTTTCTTTTATGAGATTCGTTGGATTTATCCCATTTGTCCCATTTATCCAATTAGTCCAATTTGTCCCATTTATCCAATTAGCCCCATTTGTCTCATGTATCCAATTAGTCCCATATATCCCTTTCATCCCTTTTGTCATATATATCCCAACTGTACCAATATTAAATGTTCTATTAAAATAATATTTTTATCATATTTCAGAATAAACTGACAGATGCTTCAAGTAACATTAAAAAAGGCACAGAGAGAGCTGATGAAATGGAGGAGAAGGTTAGGGTTAGGGTTAGGCACAGAGAAAGCTGATGAAATGAAGGAGAAGATCAAATGAATTTCTTTATGTTTGAATAATTTCAAATATTTCAGTCATAAGTAATCAACTTCTGTCAAATGATTCTGTTGATTAATGATAGACAAGTTATATTCACTTAATTACTTACTTGTTATTTCATTTTTTTAAAAAATAAGTTAGAGGAAAAGAGGAATTTCTAAAATATCATGTTTTAAATAGTATACGGTAAAAACAAAGTATTTATATCACTTCAAAAGTTGGGGACACACTATTTATAGATGGCTTTATTATCTTGACTTATAAATTGATTTTCTTAAAGAAATCATGACGTTCAAATCTGTTTTTATTTCTTAGGAAAATGAAAGCATCAAAGATATTTATAAGTGTATGGATCAAATCAACAACTCACTCAGTGAAAAAATAGCTCAACAGAAAGTAGAAGTGCAAAAGATTGCCGGAGATACTCCCAAGCCGATCAATTACGACCCCTTCAACTACGGCGAGGCTTATGGTGGGGACGTTGTGGTAATTACTTTATGGTGGCGACGTTGTGGTCATTATTTTATGGTGGTGACGTTGTGGTCATTACTTTATGGTGGCGATGTTGTGGTCATTACTTTATGGTGGCGATGTTGTGGTCATTACTTTATGGTGGTCAAGTTGTGGTCATTACTTTATGGTGGCGACGTTGTTGTCATTACTTTATGGTGGCGACGTTGTGGTCATTAATTTATGGTGGTGATGTTGTGGTCATTACTTTATGGTGGCGACGTTGTGGTCATTACTTTATGGTGGCGACGTTGCGGTCATTACTTTATGGTGGCGATGTTGTGGTCATTACTTTATGGTGGCGATGTTGTGGTCATTACTTTATGGTGGCGATGTTGTGGTCATTACTTTATGGTGGCGACGTTGTGGTCATTACTTTATGGTGGCGATGTTGTGGTCATTACTTTATGGTGGCGATGTTGTGGTCATTACTTTATGTTGGGGACGTTGTGGTCATTACTTTATGGTGGCGATGTTGTGGTCATTACTTTATGGTGGCGACGTTGTGGTCATTACTTTATGGTGGCGACGTTGTGGTCATTACTTTATGGTGGCGATGTTGTGGTCATTACTTTATGGTGGCGACGTTGTGGTCATTACTTTATGGTGGCGACGTTGTGGTCATTACTTTATGGTGGCGACGTTGTGGTCATTACTTTATGGTGGCGACGTTGTGGTCATTACTTTATGGTGGCGACGTTGTGGTCATTACTTTATGGTGGCGACGTTGTGGTCATTACTTTATGGTGGCGACGTTGTGGTCATTACTTTATGGTGGCGACGTTGTGGTCATTACTTTATGGTGGCGACGTTGTGGTCATTACTTTATGGTGGCGACGTTGTGGTCATTACTTTATGGTGGCGACGTTGTGGTCATTACTTTATGGTGGCGACGTTGTGGTCATTACTTTATGGTGGCGACGTTGTGGTCATTACTTTATGGTGGCGACGTTGTGGTCATTACTTTATGGTGGCGACGTTGTGGTCATTACTTTATGGTGGCGACGTTGTGGTCATTACTTTATGGTGGCGACGTTGTGGTCATTACTTTATGGTGGCGACGTTGTGGTCATTACTTTATGGTGGCGACGTTGTGGTCATTACTTTATGGTGGCGACGTTGTGGTCATTACTTTATGGTGGCGACGTTGTGGTCATTACTTTATGGTGGCGACGTTGTGGTCATTACTTTATGGTGGCGACGTTGTGGTCATTACTTTATGGTGGCGACGTTGTGGTCATTACTTTATGGTGGCGACGTTGTGGTCATTACTTTATGGTGGCGACGTTGTGGTCATTACTTTATGGTGGCGACGTTGTGGTCATTACTTTATGGTGGCGACGTTGTGGTCATTACTTTATGGTGGCGACGTTGTGGTCATTACTTTATGGTGGCGACGTTGTGGTCATTACTTTATGGTGGCGATGTTGTGGTCATTACTTTATGGTGGTGACGTTGTGGTCATTATTTTATGGTTGTGACGTTGTGGTCATTACTTTATGGTGGCGACGTTGTGGTCATTACTTTATGGTGGCGATGTTGTGGTCATTACTTTATGGTGGCGACGTTGTGGTCATTATTTTATGGTGGTGACGTTGTGGTCATTACTTTATGGTGGCGACGTTGTGGTCATTACTTTATGGTGGAGACGTTGTGGTCATTACTTTATTTTGGGGACGTTGTGGTCATTACTTTATGTTGGGGACGTTGTGGTCATTACTTTATGGTGGAGACGTTGTGGTCATTACTTTATTGTGGCGATGTTGTGGTCATTACTTTATGGTGGAGACGTTGTGGTCATTACTTTATTGTGGCGATGTTGTGGTCATTACTTTATGGTGGAGACGTTGTGGTCATTACTTTATGTTGGGGACGTTGTGGTCATTACTTTATGTTGGGGACGTTGTGGTCATTACTTTATGGTGGAGACGTTGTGGTCATTACTTTATGTTGGGGACGTTGTGGTCATTATTTTATGGTGGAGACGTTGTGGTCATTATTTTATGGTGGTGACGTTGTGGTCATTACTTTATGGTGGCGACGTTGTGGTCATTAATTTATGGTGGCGACGTTGTGGTCATTACTTTATGGTGGTCACGTTGTGGTCATTACTTTATTGTGGCGATGTTGTGGTCATTACTTTATGTTGGCGATGTTGTGGTCATTACTTTATGTTGGCGACGTTGTGGTCATTACTTTATGGTGGAGACGTTGTGGTCATTACTTTATTGTGGCGATGTTGTGGTCATTACTTTATGTTGGCGATGTTGTGGTCATTACTTTATGTTGGCGATGTTGTGGTCATTACTATATGGTGGAGACGTTGTGGTCATTACTTTATGTTGGGGACGTTGTGGTCATTACTTTATGGTGGCGATGTTGTGGTAATTACTTTATGGTGGCGATGTTGTGGTCATTACTTTATGGTGGCGACGTTGTGGTCATTACTTTATGGTGGCGACGTTGTGGTCATTACTTTATGGTGGCGACGTTGTGGTCATTAATTTATGGTGGCGACGTTGTGGTCATTACTTTATGGTGGTCACGTTGTGGTCATTACTTTATTGTGGCGATGTTGTGGTCATTACTTTATGTTGGCGATGTTGTGGTCATTACTTTATGTTGGCGACGTTGTGGTCATTACTTTATGGTGGAGACGTTGTGGTCATTACTTTATTGTGGCGATGTTGTGGTCATTACTTTATGTTGGCGATGTTGTGGTCATTACTTTATGTTGGCGATGTTGTGGTCATTACTTTATGGTGGAGACGTTGTGGTCATTACTTTATGTTGGGGACGTTGTGGTCATTACTTTATGTTGGCGACGTTGTGGTCATTACTTTATGTTGGGGACGTTGTGGTCATTACTTTATGGTGGGGACGTTGTGGTCATTACTTTATGTTGGGGACGTTGTGGTCATTACTTTATGGTGGGGACGTTGTGGTCATTACTTTATGGTGGGGACGTTGTGGTCATTACTTTATGGTGGCGATGTTGTGGTCATTACTTTATGGTGGGGACGTTGTGGTCATTACTTTATGGTGGCGATGTTGTGGTCATTACTTTATGGTGGGGACGTTGTGGTCATTACTTTATGGTGGAGACGTTGTGGTCATTACTTTATGGTGGGGACGTTGTTGTCATTACTTTATTGTGGGGACGTTGTGGTCATTACTTTATGGTGGTCACGTTGTGGTCATTACTTTATGGTGGCGATGTTGTGGTCATTACTTTATGGTGGCGATGTTGTTGTCATTACTTTATGGTGGGGACGTTGTGGTCATTACTTTATGGTGGCGATGTTGTGGTCATTACTTTATGGTGGGGACGTTGTGGTCATTACTTTATGGTGGAGACGTTGTGGTAATTATTTTATTGTGGTGACGTTGTGGTCATTACTTTATGGTGGCGACGTTGTGGTCATTAATTTATGGTGGCGACGTTGTGGTCATTACTTTATGGTGGTCACGTTGTGGTCATTACTTTATTGTGGCGATGTTGTGGTCATTACTTTATGGTGGGGACGTTGTGGTGATTACTTTATGGTGGCGATGTTGTTGTATTTACTTTAACGTTGTGGAAATTCTTTAAGCTCACATTGATATCCATTGAATAACATATAGGAAATACACAAAGAGTAAAGCAGATGTTTCAAGATACATGACTGATATTCTCACTCCATTCAATAAGTATTGTTTCAATAAACTTCTGCTTATAATATAAATATAATGTGAGCACTCTTATAATTTGGTCCAGTCATCTCTAAATACCATGGATTAAATAAGACCTGACTTAGGAAATCTTACGAAGCGTAAATCCCATCATTTTAGGATTTCCAAGCACGCAGAAGAATCCTGGAGATCAAACTTCTACTTCAAGGTCTGCAGTCTTCAATGGCCCAGCTTCGAGACTCTGTGAAGGTCAGTCCAAGTATTGACCTTGGCTATAAGATCGTTCGCTTGGATCAACTGATAGCATCCAGTGGATTCGGTAAAGCTATACAGAAAGGAGGTATGTCGGTCATTTAGGAGAGTTTATTGACAAGTAAATAATTATACACACATTTAATCACATATTTATACACACATTGATACACACGTTTATGCACACATTTATACACACATTTATACACACATTTATACACACATTTATACACACATTTATACACATATTCGATGTATCGGGTATGTGGGAAATATTTTTAAACTATTTGTTGAATCTACAAGTGTAAACACAGATTCTGTCAGGCAAGGTCATGACCTTCTATAAACAGCAAGTATGCTTCAGAGTGATGGTTTTATATAGTGCGATACCCAAGCCCAGGGCGGGGCCCAACACGCTGAACATACAATTTAACAAACATAGTCAAAAACTAAAAATAAACATACATTTATTAAATAAAACAAAATAAATATATATTCACTCTACACATTCAAGAACTTGCAGTTTTGAAGGTCAAGTTAGTCTGTCTTAATTGTCTCAACTAAAAATAACATTGGCCAAGTTAGTCTATCTTTATTGTCTCAACTAAACGAAAGATTGGCCAAGTTAGTCTGTCTTAATTGTCTAAACAAAACAATGGCCAAGTTAGTCTGTATTTATTGTCTCAACTAAACGAAAGATTGGCCAAGTTAGTCTGTCTTTATTGTCTCTACTAAACGAAAGATTGGCCAAGTTAGTCTGTCTTTATTGTCTCTACTAAACGAAACAATGGCCAAGCAAGTCTGTCTTTATTGTCTCAACTAAATAAAAAATCGGCCAAGTTGGTCTCTCTTTATTGTCTCTACTGAACGAAACAATGGCCAAGTTAGTCTGTCTTTATTGTCTCAACTAAACAAAACAATGGCCAAGTTAGTCTGTCTTTATTGTCTCAACTAAATAAAAAATTGGCCAAGCTAGTCTGTCTTTATTGTCTCAACTAAACAAAACAATGGCCAAGCTATTCTGTCTTTATTGTCTCAACTAAATAAAAAATTGGCCAAGCTAATCTGTCTTTATTGTCTCTACTAAACGAAACAATGGCCAAGCTAGTCTGTCTTTATTGTCTCAACTAAATAAAAAATTGGCCAAGTTAGTTAGTATGTCTTTATGTCTCAACTAAATAAAAAATTGGCCAAGTTAGTCTGTCTTTATTGTCTCAACTAAATACAAAATTGGCCAATTTAATCTGTCTTGATTGTCTCAACTAAACGAAACAGTGTCAAAGAGAGACTACAAAGTAAATAATTAAATAAATACCCAGATAAGGCAATTATATCATCAGATATCTACTTATAAAAAAAGCTACATCATCTATTTCTACTGAAGAAGACAGCAAGGCTCAACATTCCACGATTTCAAAGATGCCATTCTTGTGATACCCACCTTGCTCGTCCAGAACCTGCTTAACTATACACGAATCTTGACCTTGGACCGAAATAAACTTTTATGATTTAAACACTGAACATTTGAAAACTGACATCGTGGTTGTGTATGACATTATGGTTGTGTATAACATGATGGTTGTATATGACATGGTGGTTGTGTATGACACGATGGTTGTGTATGACATGGTTGTTGTGTATAGCACGATGGTTGTGTATGACATTGTGGTTGTGTATGACATGATGGTTGTGTATGACATGATGGTGTGTGACATGATGGTTATTGCCTAGCAGGTACAAGTGAAACGTATGGAAAAAATGATCATATTTTCTCAGTACATGTGGACTTCACTGAGGACTTGAACAATATCTGTTACTGGGGACCTCTCACACCAGCTTATCACCCTATTATTTAAATCTTTAAAATGGCATGACAACAATGTTACAAATAATGTCTTTCTTTCTTTGGGTGATTAATGTCTTTCTTTCTTTCTTTGGTTAATGTCTTTCTTTCTTTGTTTGATTAATATCTTTCTTTCTTTGTTTAGTTAATGTCTTTCTTTCTTTGTTTGGTTAATGTCTTCCTTTCTTTGTTTGGTTAATGTCTTCCTTTCTTTGTTTAATTAATATCTTTCTTTCTTTGTTTAATTAATATCTTTCTTTCTTTGTTTGCTTCCAGACGCAACGCACGAGGATGTCCTGGTTGTTAGCAACTCTAAAGTTAGGATCCCAGGCAAGGTAGACTACCCAAAGAAAGAAATCTTTCAAGTAACAGACGATATGGTAATATTATATATGTAAATTATTATTAAAGAAATTAAGATTATTTGACCTTTGACCTTTCTTATAGTTTCATTGTTACGATAATTTTTGTTAGTCTTCTATCATTTAGATTCAAACAGTTCATCTCAACATACGTATAGACAATGTCAACATACTAAAGGACAATGTCAACATACTTATAGACAATGTCAACATAGTTATAGACAATGTCAACATACTTATGTACTGTCAACATACGTATATACTGTAAACATACTTATAGTTATGTCAACATACTTATAGACTATGTCAACATACTTATAGACAATGTCAACATACTTATATACTTTCAACATACTTATATACTGTCAACATACTTATATAATGTCAACATACTTATATAATGTCAACATACTTATAGACAATGTCAACATACTTATAGATAATGTCAACATACTTATATACTTTCAACATACTTATATACTGTCAACATACTTATATAATGTCAACATACTTATATAATGTCAACATACTTATAGACTATGTCAACATACTTATAGACAATGTCAACATACTTATATACTTTCAACATACTTATATACTGTCAACATACTTATATAATGTCAACATACTTATATAATGTCAACATACTTATAGACAATGTCAACATACTTATAGATAATGTCAACATACTTATATACTTTCAACATACTTATATACTGTCAACATACTTATATAATGTCAACATACTTATATAATGTCAACATACTTATAGACTATGTCAACATACTTATAGACAATGTCAACATACTTATATACTTTCAACATACTTATATACTGTCAACATACTTATATAATGTCAACATACTTATATAATGTCAACATACTTATAGACAATGTCAACATACTTATAGACAATGTTAACATACTTATCTACAATGTCAACATACTTATAGAAAATGTCAACATACTTATAGATAATGTCAACATACTTATAGATAATGTCAACATACTTATAGATAATGTCAACATACTTATAGAAAATGTCAACATACTTATAGATAATGTCAACATACTTATAGATAATGTCAACATACTTATATACTCCAAACATACTTATAGACAATGTTAACATACTTATCTACAATGTCAACATACTTATAGATAATGTCAACATACTTATAGAAAATGTCAACATACTTATAGAAAATGTCAACATACTTATAGATAATGTCAACATACTTATAGAAAATGTCAACATACTTATAGATAATGTCAACATACTTATAGACAATGTCAACATACTTATAGATAATGTCAACATACTTATAGATAATGTCAACATACTTATAGACAATGTCAACATACTTATAGACAATGTCAACATACTTATAGATAATGTCAACATACTTATAGATAATGTCAACATAATTATAGACAATGTCAACATACTTATAGACAATGTCAACATACTTATAGACAATGTCAACATACTTATAGATAATGTCAACATACTTATAGATAATGTCAACATACTTATAGACAATGTCAACATACTTATAGACAATGTCAACATACTTATAGATAATGTCAACATACTTATAGAAAATGTCAACATACTTATAGACAATGTCAACATACTTATAGATAATGTCAACATACTTATAGAAAATGTCAACATACTTATAGACAATGTCAACATACTTATAGATAATGTCAACATACTTATAGACAATGTCAACATACTTATATATGTTTACATGTTTTTAATAATTGTAAAGCGCTTAGAGCTTTAAGGTAAAATGCCTGAATAAATAAATAAATAAATATACAGTTAAAATATTTATAGACAACGTCAACTTACTTATAGACAATGTCAACTTACTTATAGACAACGTCAACTTACTTATAGACAAGGTACTTATAGACAATGTCAACATACTTGACATTTGTACAAAGTTTCTTTTAATATACAATTGGATATAAAGTCATGTTCTCCTAATGTACAGGAATCCAACTGGGCGATAACAGACTCCATCATGCAGACGATGTACCGGCTGGAAATGGAATTAGGAGATCTTCAGAAAGTTGTTGGTTCCTCTGACTTAAGCACCAACACCAAGCTCTTAGAGGTAAACTTATGACTTAAGCATTAACATCAAGCTCTTAGAGGTAAACTTCTGAATTAAGCACCAACACCAAGCTCTTAGAGGTAAACTTCTGAATTAAGCACCAACACCAAGCTCTTAGAGGTAAACTTCTGAATTAAGCACCAACACCAAGCTCTTAGAGGTAAACTTATGACTTAAGCATTAACATCAAGCTCTTAGAGGTAAACTTATGACTTAAGCATTAACACCAAGCTCTTAGAGGTAAACTTCTGAATTAAGCACCAACACCAAGCTCTTAGAAGTAAACTTATGACTTAAGCACCAACACCAAGCTCTTAGAGGTAAACTTATGACTTAAGCATTAACACCAAGCTCTTAGAGGTAAACTTCTGAATTAAGCACCAACACCAAGCTCTTAGAGGTAAACTATGACTTAAGCACCAACACCAAGCTCTTAGAGGTAAACTATGACTTAAGCACCAACACCAAGCTCTTAGAGGTAAACTATGACTTTAGCACCAACACCAAGCTCTTAGAGGTAAACTATGACTTAAGCACCAACACCAAGCTCTTAGAGGTAAACTTATGACTTAAGCACTAACACCAAGCTCTTAGAGGTAAACTTATGACTTTAGCACCAACACCAAGCTCTTAGAGGTAAACTATGACTTAAGCACCAACACCAAGCTCTTAGAGGTAAACTATGACTTAAGCACCAACACCAAGCTCTTAGAGGTAAACTATGACTTAAGCACCAACACCAAGCTCTTAGAGGTAAACTATGACTTAAGCACCAACACCAATCTCTTAGAGGTAAACTATGACTTAAGCACCAACACCAATCTCTTAGAGGTAAACTATGACTTAAGCACCAACACCAATCTCTTAGAGGTAAACTATGACTTAAGCACCAACACCAATCTCTTAGAGGTAAACTATGACTTAAGCACCAACACCAATCTCTTAGAGGTAAACTATGACTTAAGCACCAACACCAATCTCTTAGAGGTAAACTATGACTTAAGCACCAACACCAATCTCTTAGAGGTAAACTATGACTTAAGCACCAACACCAATCTCTTAGAGGTAAACTATGACTTAAGCACCAACACCAATCTCTTAGAGGTAAACTATGACTTAAGCACCAACACCAATCTCTTAGAGGTAAACTATGACTTAAGCACCAACACCAATCTCTTAGAGGTAAACTATGACTTAAGCACCAACACCAATCTCTTAGAGGTAAACTATGACTTAAGCACCAACACCAATCTCTTAGAGGTAAACTATGACTTAAGCACCAACACCAATCTCTTAGAGGTAAACTATGACTTAAGCACCAACACCAATCTCTTAGAGGTAAACTATGACTTAAGCACCAACACCAATCTCTTAGAGGTAAACTATGACTTAAGCACCAACACCAATCTCTTAGAGGTAAACTATGACTTAAGCACCAACACCAATCTCTTAGAGGTAAACTATGACTTAAGCACCAACACCAATCTCTTAGAGGTAAACTATGACTTAAGCACCAACACCAAGCTCTTAGAGGTAAACTATGACTTAAGCACCAACACCAAGCTCTTAGAGGTAAACTATGACTTAAGCACCAACACCAAGCTCTTAGAGGTAACTTCTGACTGAAGCACCAACACCAAGCTCTTAGAGGTAAACTTATGACTTAAGCACAAAAACCAAGCTCTTAGAGGTAAACTTCTGACTTAAGTATTAACACCAATCTCTTAGAGTAAACCTTGTTCCCACGGAAACCTGTACTAATTCTCATAACGGGATTATACATTCTGAAATTAGAAGGGATATATTCTGAAATTAGAAGGGATATATTCTGACATTAGATTGGACATATTCTGACATTAGAATGTATATTTTGCTTCACGAAGACAGTATCAGTAATAAGAATATAAATTTTACGTGTTAAATCAATAATTAGGAAATAAAATTATGATCACATATCTTCTAGGAGTAGCATCCCATCGTAACACGTGATCACAATCTTGACACCTTACGCCCCCTTCCCCAAAACACACACACACACACATACACACACCGGTGTGAATACGTTTATCTGTTATTTTGTTTCCGGTTGTAAGACAACCGCCATCTTTATAAATCTCCATTAATGTTTACATCTTTGTTAACATCCACCTTGACGTCACGCAGTACCAAAGTCATTTCTGTTTCAGGAACTTCAGGCCAGCATTAAGCATGTCAAGGAGAAGGCTGTGGATGTCAAGACAGTCAAACGATTGATTGAGGACACTCAGGCCAACAAGGTTGCAATCACGTCTTCTTACTCTTCTTCGAACTTAGACACAGACTTGAGCCCAGCCCCAGGCGGGTGTACCACGCTAATAAGACTACTACTACTAATAATAATAATAATAATAGATGTCAAATATAGTTATGTGTCCTAGTTCATTGATGTCAATTTATACCTGTGTCTCCATCCATTCCATCCGTATGTATGCCTATCTGTCTGTTAGCATATCTGTCTATCTATCTAAGCATTTCAAGATTGGAACATCTGGGCCAGAGGTTTCACTTCCCATACTCTCACTGAAGACACCTGCCCCCCCCCCCAAAAAAATAAATAAATAAATAAATAAAATAAAAACAATAATAATAATAATCTAAGACATGGGGGTGTTGAGCGAAGTAGAATAGGTCCTTTTCCAATTTTCTTCTAAGAGCATGCATTCTCCATGTATATAAGCTGTATTAATTGATGCAGTATCAAATCAAACTGTCTTTGTTTATCTTTGATACTCCTGTCTTTGCTTAAATGTGCAGCAGCCAATGTTTGGGACACCTTTTGTCAAACCTTTTCATGAACACTAGGGTCCATAAAAAAGCTGTCCGTCCATGTCCACTACCAGTGAACACTACGAGTTGTGCCCATGATGTTTCAAAATCTTTCTTGACATGTTGCGCCATTAAAATGCACAATCATTTATGTAGGACAATTTTATTGTTAACACTTTCTTGTAGACGACCTATGCCCCCGACGGGTAGAAAAGCATACGGGAAGAATTGGTCCCACTAGTTCTCCCATTACAACATATGGGTGCTAATGACGTCAACAATTTTATCACGTGACTGACATCTAAAGATGAATAAATCCATGAAACGTTTGTAGGAATTATTTTCTTGTGTAGTAAAAAAAACAAAAAATAAAACAAAGAGTTAGCCCATACAAACGAAGATTGTTAGCCCATACAAACGAAGAGAGTTAGCCCATACAAACCAAGAGAGTTTAGGCCATACAAACCAAGAGAGTTTAGGCCATACAAACCAAGAGAGTTTAGGCCATACAAACCAAGAGAGTTTAGGCCATACAAACCAAGAGAGTTAGCCCATACCAACGAAGAGAGTTAGGCCATACAAACGAAGAGAGCCCATACAAACGAAGAGAGTTAGGCCATACAAATGAAGAGAGCCAATACAAACCAAGAGAGTTAGCCCATACAAACCAAGAATGTTAGCCCATACAAACCAAGAGAGTTAACCCATACAAACCAAGAGAGTTAGCCAATACAAACCAAAAGATTTAGCCAATACAAACCAAGATAGTTAACCCATACAAATCAAGAGAGTTAGGCCATACAAACGAAGAGAGTTAGCCCATACAAATCAAGAGAGTTAGGCCATTCAAACCAAGAGAGTTAGGCCATACAAACCAATAAAGTTAGGCCATACAAACCAAGAGAGTTATGCCATACAAACGAAGGGAGTTAGGCCATACAAACGAAGAGAGTTAGGCCATACAAACCAAGAGAATTAGGCCATACAAACGAAGAGAGTTAGCCCATACAAACCAAGAGAGTTAGGCCATACAAACGAAGAGAGTTAGCCCATACAAACCAAGAGAGTTAGGCCATACAAACTAGAGATTTAGACCATACAAATTAGAGAGTTAGACCATGCAGACTAAGAGAGTTAGATCATACAAATTGATAAAGTTATATTGTACAAATTGATGGAGTTAGATCATACAAACTAAGAGAGTAAGACGAGGATATTTTTATGTTTGAAAAATTAGATTCCCCAATATATCTTGTAGTAGAATACACAGCTTAAAACCTAGGTGTCTACAGTACTCGTATGAAGAATATCAGCCATGATAGAGAACGCTTCCTTGAACTTGTCATAACTCTCAATCTCGTCAATTAGTCGAAATATTCAATTATGTTATAGGCTATTTATAGAATGAATCCAGATTTATTATAACCATTTGAATAATTTGAAATATTTTTTTTGTATTATTGATTTTAATAGTTTTCTAAATATTGTTTTTAACCCATTAATATTGGGGTAAACCTGTTTATTTATACCTTTTTCATCATTTCAGCCTCATGCTCCATTACCTTTTGAGAAGAAATCACAGGTAACTATCATCAAAAACATGAAAAAAATAAAATTAAAAAAATTCCATTGGTCATTGGTGTAATATTTATTTAACATGACATTAGCGAAGTATGCTTGCGTAGACATTAAGAAATTTAGCATATATAGAGAGAGAGCAGAGAAGAGCAGAGAATAAAAACAAGTCAATTGAAAGTATTATGTTATGTTCATTCTTTTGGTTTGTTTCCTTTTTATTTGTTTTTGATTATTTGTTTTGTTTTTGTTTGTTTGTTGTTGTTGTTATTGTTCTTGCTGCTACTGTTGTTGTTCATGTTGTAGTTTCCATTGAAGGCGTTCAACCCAAAAGTCTCTTGTTGTGCTTTAACCCAATCAGATGTATTTCTTACTGCTTCCGCCTGAACCCAGTCCTCCCATGATATATGCCCCAGAGGCTAAACTACCAAGTCCACCCATGATATACGCCCCAGATGATAATCTAGCCAGTACTCCCATGATATATGCCCCAGATGATAATCTACCCAGTCCTCCCATGATATATGCCCCAGAGGCTAAACTACCAAGTCCTCCCATGATATACGCCCCAGATGATAATCTACCCAGTCCTCCCATGATATACGCCCCAGATGATAATCTACCCAGTCCTCCCATGATATACGCCCCAGAGTATAATCAACCCAGTCCTCCCATGATATACGCCCCAGATGATAATCTACCCAGTGATCCCCATGGCATATGCCCCATATGATAATTTACTTGCAGCTTTACTTTATCCACCAATATCATTTCAATTGAAAGAATTCTCGCCATACTTGTAATGGTAGAATTTAAAAAAAATTTTGGGGGGATACAATGATAAGGTCATAAGATGCAGCAACGAATCTAATTCTATTAATAGCTCAACACTTTTTGATTATTTTAGTTATTTTGTGAATTGATAAAAACATCTCTGTAACGAATGGTGACTTAATTATTACATTTTATTAATAAATGCTGCATTTTAAATAACAATTCATTTAAACATTCTGTTCAAATAGTCAAATGAACAATGTTAATATGAAATCATTGCGTACTTTTGGAGAAAGTGATGTGTTTTTCGTAAATTAACTAGAAATCAGTAGCTGCATTGCCAATGACTTTCAAGTACTCTCATGTACTGTCAAGTACTGTCAAGCACTGACAAGCAGATTCAAGTACTGTCAAGTACTGTGAAGTACTGTGATAACTTCATCATGGCATAGAGTAGCTATTTGAATTTTTTTCATGTTTCTATTTTTTTTTAACAATGTTTCATTGTGAGATACTGAAAATATATTTTTTTCCCTACCAAGATTACAGAATGCGGGGCTTCTCAAACCAATTTATCAAACATCTCAAAAGCTAAGTTTGATAACCACATCAAGACTCTAACTACGTCAGTGCATTCTCTTATGGAGCGTTTAGGGAAAATTGTGAGTCCCATTTTAATTGATTTTTAATAATGTGAGTCCTTTCATAATTCATTATTAACAGTGTGAGTCCTTTCATAATTGATTGTTAACATTGTGAGTCCTATTATAATTGAATGTTAACATTATAGGTCCTATTACAATTGAGTATTAACATTGTGAGTCCTTTTATAATTGATTATTAACATTTTGTGTCCTATCATAAGTGATTGCTAACATTGTGAGTCATATTATAATTAACTGTTAACTGGGGTCAAAATTGTTGACCTCCGCAGTATCGCTTATCCCGGGGAAAAAGGGGACATAAGTCAAACTCTTTCCGGGATCCTGGAAAATTCCACGAAACATGAATTAATTTTAACACTTATTTAAAACTTAATTAAATGATACAAGATTTCTTTTTTTTTTCCATTAATAAATTATGACACACTTTGTTAAGTTTACTTGCTACGACATTTCGTGAACCTCGGGACCGGGGTCGACATTATTGAAGAATCAAAAGGTGGTGTGGAAATGGAGCAAGAATCGTAGACAAATTTAACAGTCTATTTTAATGTGCATGTTAAATTCCTAAGGTGAGCTACGTGTATAGCAGCGTAACCCGTGCTCCGTAGCCTCTATCGTAATAAGGAAAAGCGCCGAGCCATACAGGGACAGTGAAAGGGACGCCAAACGGAGGTTTCGCACTGGGCGATAGTTTGACATTTACATCAATCAACCTAGTGAGACATTTACATCAATCAACCTAGTGAGACATTTTCATCAATCAACCTAGTGAGACATTTACATCAATCAACCTAGTGAAACATTTACATCAATCAACCTAGTGAGACATTTACATCAATCAACCTAGTTTGACATTTACATCAATCAACCTAGTGAGACATTTACATCAATCAACCTAGTGAGACATTTACATCAATCAACCTAGTGAGACATTTACATCAATCAACCTAGTGAGACATTTACATCAATCAACCTAGTTTGACATTTACATCAATCAACCTAATGAGACATTTACATCAATCAACCTAGTGAGACATTTACATCAATCAACCTTGTGAGACATTTACATCAATCAACCTAGTGAGACATTTACATCAATCAACCTAGTTTGACATTTACATCAATCAACCTAGTTTGACATTTACATCAATCAACCTAGTGAGACATTTACATCAATCAACCTAGTTTGACATTTACATCAATCAACCTAGTGAGACATTTACATCAATCAACCTAGTGAGACATTTACATCAATCAACCTAGTGAGACATTTACATCAATCAACCTAGTGAGACATTTACATCAATCAACCTAGTGAGACATTTACATCAATCAACCTAGTGAGACATTTACATCAATCAACCTAGTGAGACATTTACATCAATCAACCTAGTGAGACATTTACATCAATCAACCTAGTGAGACATTTACATCAATCAACCTAGTGAGACATTTACATCAATCAACCTAGTGAGACATTTACATCAATCAACCTAGTGAGACATTTACATCAATCAACCTAGTGAGACATTTACATCAATCAACCTAGTGAGACATTTACATCAATCAACCTAGTGAGACATTTACATCAATCAACCTAGTGAGACATTTACATCAATCAACCTAGTGAGACATTTACATCAATCAACCTAGTGAGACATTTACATCAATCAACCTAGTGAGACATTTACATCAATCAACCTAGTGAGACATTTACATCAATCAACCTAGTGAGACATTTACATCAATCAACCTAGTGAGACATTTACATCAATCAACCTAGTGAGACATTTACATCAATCAACCTAGTGAGACATTTACATCAATCAACCTAGTGAGACATTTACATCAATCAACCTAGTGAGACATTTACATCAATCAACCTAGTGAGACATTTACATCAATCAACCTAGTGAGACATTTACATCAATCAACCTAGTGAGACATTTACATCAATCAACCTAGTGAGACATTTACATCAATCAACCTAGTGAGACATTTACATCAATCAACCTAGTGAGACATTTACATCAATCAACCTAGTGAGACATTTACATCAATCAACCTAGTGAGACATTTACATCAATCAACCTAGTGAGACATTTACATCAATCAACCTAGTTTGACATTTACATCAATCAACCTAGTTTGACATTTACATCAATCAACCTAGTTTGACATTTACATCAATCAACCTAGTTTGACATTTACATCAATCAACCTAATGAGACATTTACATCAATCAACCTAGTGAGACATTTACATCAATCAACCTAGTGAGACATTTACATCAATCAACCTAATGAGACATTTACATCAATCAACCTAGTTTGACATTTACATCAATCAACCTTGTGAGACATTTACATCAATCAACCTAGTTTGACATTTACATCAATCAACCTAGTGAGACATTTACATCAATCAACCTAGTGAGACATTTACATCAATCAACCAAGTAAAACCATTTCTTTATTTTTACACGTGTATCTTTATGTTAACCCTTGTATCTTTGTGTTTATACATATATCTTTATGTTAATACTTGTTTCTTTGTGTTTATACTTGTATCTTAGCATGCAAGCTCACAAGGGGTGGGGGCAAGGGGGGCACTTGCCCCCCTTGGATTGATTGGATAAAACAAAATTAGACAAAAATAGACACAAAATTTCTTAAAGTAAAGAGAAAATAAGGAGAAAGTAACTAAGCTGATGTCCTGTCCGTTCGTTCACCATACAAATACGCTACAGTAAATTAAAACTACATTAAAACATTTTTATAAAATTTTGCCCCCCCCCCCCCCCCTAGAAAATTAATCGATTTTTTTGCCCCCCCCCCTAGAAAGTTTTCTGCGGGCGCCCATGTATCTTTGTGTTTAAACATGTATCTTAATGTCTTAAAAAACTGATTTTTGGAATAAAAAAACTGCATCAGGTGAAACAAATACATCTTGGGTTAATCCATTTACTAGAACAAATGATTCCAACCCATGGGATGTTATTATCAATTTATTAGAACACAGGATCCTAACCCATGGGACGTCATTATCATTTTACTAGAACACAGGATCCTAACCCATGGGACGTCATTATCATTTTACTAGAACACAGGATCCTAACCCATGGGACGTCATTATCATTTTACTAGAACACAGGATCCTAACCCATGGGACGTCATTATCATTTTACTAGAACACAGGATCCTAACCCATGGGACGTCATTATCATTTTACTAGAACACAGGATCCTAACCCATGGGACGTCATTATCATTTTACTAGAACACAGGATCCTAACCCATGGGACGTCATTATCATTTTACTAGAACACAGGATCCTAACCCATGGGACGTCATTATCATTTTACTAGAACACAGGATCCTAACCCATGGGACGTCATTATCATTTTACTAGAACACAGGATCCTAACCCATGGGACGTCATTATCATTTTACTAGAACACAGGATCCTAACCCATGGGACGTCATTATCATTTTACTAGAACACAGGATCCTAACCCATGGGACGTCATTATCATTTTACTAGAACACAGGATCCTAACCCATGGGACGTCATTATCATTTTACTAGAACACAGGATCCTAACCCATGGGACGTCATTATCATTTTACTAGAACACAGGATCCTAACCCATGGGACGTCATTATCATTTTACTAGAACACAGGATCCTAACCCATGGGACGTCATTATCATTTTACTAGAACACAGGATCCTAACCCATGGGACGTCATTATCATTTTACTAGAACACAGGATCCTAACCCATGGGACGTCATTATCATTTTACTAGAACACAGGATCCTAACCCATGGGACGTCATTATCATTTTACTAGAACACAGGATCCTAACCCATGGGACGTCATTATCATTTTACTAGAACACAGGATCCTAACCCATGGGACGTCATTATCATTTTACTAGAACACAGGATCCTAACCCATGGGACGTCATTATCATTTTACTAGAACACAGGATCCTAACCCATGGGACGTCATTATCATTTTACTAGAACACAGGATCCTAACCCATGGGACGTCATTATCATTTTACTAGAACACAGGATCCTAACCCATGGGACGTCATTATCATTTTACTAGAACACAGGATCCTAACCCATGGGACGTCATTATCATTTTACTAGAACACAGGATCCTAACCCATGGGACGTCATTATCATTTTACTAGAACACAGGATCCTAACCCATGGGACGTCATTATCATTTTACTAGAACACAGGATCCTAACCCATGGGACGTCATTATCATTTTACTAGAACACAGGATCCTAACCCATGGGACGTCATTATCATTTTACTAGAACACAGGATCCTAACCCATGGGACGTCATTATCATTTTACTAGAACACAGGATCCTAACCCATGGGACGTCATTATCATTTTACTAGAACACAGGATCCTAACCCATGGGACGTCATTATCATTTTACTAGAACACAGGATCCTAACCCATGGGACGTCATTATCATTTTACTAGAACACAGGATCCTAACCCATGGGACGTCATTATCATTTTACTAGAACACAGGATCCTAACCCATGGGACGTCATTATCATTTTACTAGAACACAGGATCCTAACCCATGGGACGTCATTATCATTTTACTAGAACACAGGATCCTAACCCATGGGACGTCATTATCATTTTACTAGAACACAGGATCCTAACCCATGGGACGTCATTATCATTTTACTAGAACACAGGATCCTAACCCATGGGACGTCATTATCATTTTACTAGAACACAGGATCCTAACCCATGGGACGTCATTATCATTTTACTAGAACACAGGATCCTAACCCATGNGGAGGGGGGCGTTTTTATGCAAACGTTGTTTTTTTGTTTTTTGTTGTTGGTGTTGTTGTTTTTTTTTGGGGGGGGGGGTCGTCTCGGCAGTAATTATTCGTATATGATGCAAGAATATGCTAAAATTCTTTCAGTCCATGAATTACTCAGATCTCTAATGCTATAAAAAGAGCTTGTCATATTTTGTAACTATCGTCAAACATTTGCTTTGTATTTTCACAAATAAACTCGCTAGATTTTTCATTATTTTAAGAACTTGTTAGATCTTGCAATAGTACATGAACTCTTTAGATCTTTCACCATTATAAGTCATATTAATATTGTGTCTATCGTCTGGCGGAGCGAACGGTTCATGAAGCTTTCGAATATTAGCGCCCTTGGTGGAAATAGGTAAACAGGCGCCCCATGTCAAGTGAAAGTCTACCAAGTACATTTGGAAATAGCGAAAGTTAGTAAAAAAAATAGATTTCTTTTGACTAGTACTAGCACCAACACTAACACTAGATCTAGCACTAGGTCACTTTGTCTTTCAAGGCTTATATTATGATATGTATATTATTTCAAAGCGCTCACCCTACACCATGGCTGTATCAGGTTCTCCAGCACCAGCTGTGCGCACTCTTCACATGAGACAAGTGCTGCTGGCAAAGTGTTGTCTCCATTTGCATGGTGGCAGAAAAGTGACTTCATCATACATTTCAACTGGCTCTTACGGTCATATTAAACACCATTTCTATCGGACATATTTCTATTTGGCAAATTTCTATCTGACCATATTTCTATCTGACCATATTTCTATCTGACGTATCTGACCTTGATGTGTGGAAAAGCTAGGAGAGCATTGTAAAAATAATAAACGGTTCAAATAAAATTCATAAAACCTAAAACTGGTTTTCATATTTTAATAAAATATCAGAGCTAAATCTACTAATGATATGATTATGTCTTGTAAAGCTTTAAGGAAAAATGACGCAGCGGAGTTAATCTTTGACCAGCCGAGTTCACCTTTGACCAGGAGTGTTAATCTTTGACCAGAAGAGTTTATGTTTGACCAGCAGAGCTAATCTTTGACCACAAGATTTAATCTATGACAAGAACAGTTAATATTTGAATAGGCTATTTATTTTTTGACCAGCAGTTCTAGTCTCTGACCGGGAAAGTTGATCTTTGACCAGTAGAATAAACATTTGACCAGGAGAGTTGATCTTTGACCAGCAGAGTTAATCTTTGACCAGCAGGGTTAATCTTTGACCAGCAGAGTTAATCATTGACAAAGAGAGTTTACTCTTTGATAAGCCGAGTTAATCTTTTACCAGGAGTGCTAGGCTCTGACCAGGAGAGTTGACCAGGACAGTAAATCTTTAACTAGTAGAATTAAACTTTGACCATATTTTTTCCAGGAAATGTATTTAGAAAAGCGTCCAGGTTCAGCATCATCAAAAAGGTAAGTGTGGAGTGCTCTGTGGGGTGATGTGTAGAGTGCTCTGTGGGGTGATGTGTGGAGTGCTCTGTGGGGTGCTCTGTGGGGTGCTCTGTGGGGTGATGTGTGGAGTGCTCTGTGGGGTGCTCTGTGGGGTGCTGTGTGGAGTGCTCTGTGGGGTGCTCTGTGGGGTGATCTGTGGAGTGCTCTGTGGGGTGCTCTGTGGGGTGCTGTGTGGAGTGCTCTGTGGGGTGCTCTGTGGGGTGATGTGTGGAGTGCTCTGTGGGGTGCTCTGTGGGTTGATGTGTGGAGTGCTCTGTGGGGTGCTCTTTGGGGTGATCTGTGGAGTGCTCTGTGGGGTGCTCTGTGGGGTGATGTGTGGAGTGCTCTGTGGGGTGCTCTGTGGGGTGATGTGTGGAGTGCTCTGTGGGGTGATGTGTGGAGTGCTCTGTGGGGTGATGTGTGGAGTACTCTGTGGGGTGATGTGTGGAGTGCTCTGTGGGGTTATGTGTGAGGTGCTGCTTTGGGTGCTGTTGGGGTTACTGTGGTGGGTACTGTCCACGAGCACTATGTAAATACAATAGATTGTGTGTGAGAACTATATTAATAAATAGTGTAAGTACTATGTTAATACAATATTGTGAGTACTTTGTTAATACAATAGTGTGAGTACTATGTTTAAACAATAGTGTGAGTACTATGTTAATAAAATAGATAATGTGAGTACTATGTTAATACAATAGAGTGAGTACTATGTTAATACAATAGATAATGTGAGTACTATGTTAATACAATAGATAATGTGACAACTATGTTCATACAAAAGATAATGTGAGTACTATGTTAAAACAATAGATATGTGAGTACTATATTAATACAATAGATAATGTGAGTGCTATGTTAATACAATAGATAATGTGAGTACTATATTTTTATAATATATAATGTGAGTACTAGTTTAATACAATAGATAATGTGAGTACTATGTTAATACAATAGATAATGTGAGTACTATTTTAATACAATATATAATGTGAGTACTATATTAATACAATAGATAATTTGGGTACTATATTAATACAATAGATAATGTGAGTACTGTATTAATGCAATAGATAATGTGAGTACTATGTGTATACAATAGATAATGTGAGTACTATATTAATCCAATAGATAATGTGAATACTATATTAATACAATAGATAATTTGAGTACTATATTAATACAATAGATAATGTGAGTACTATGTTAATACAATAGATAATGTGAGTACTATTTTAATACAATATATAATGTGAGTACTATATTAATACAATAGATAATTTGGGTACTATATTAATACAATAGATAATGTGAGTACTGTATTAATGCAATAGATAATGTGAGTACTATGTGTATACAATAGATAATGTGAGTACTATATTAATCCAATAGATAATGTGAATACTATATTAATACAATAGATAATTTGAGTACTATATTAATACAATAGATAATGTGAGTACTATGTTAATACAATAGATAATGTGAGTACTATGTTAATTCAATAGATATGTGAGTACTATATTAATACAATAGATAATGTGAATATTATGTTAATACAGTATATAATGTGAGTACTATGTTAATACAATAGATAATGTGAGTAATATGTTAATACAATAGATAATGTGAGTACTATGTTAATACAATAGATAATGTGAGTACTATGTTAATACAATAGATAATGTGAGTACTATGTTAATACAATAGATAATGTGAGTACTATGTTAATTCAATAGATATGTGAGTACTATATTAATACAATAGATAATGTGAATACTATGTTAATACAGTATATAATGTGAGTACTATGTTAATACAATAGATAATGTGAGTAATATGTTAATACAATAGATAATGTTAGTAATATATTAATACAATAGATAATGTGAGTACTATCTTAATACAATAGATAATGTGAGTACTATATTAATACAATAGATAATGTGAATACTATCTTAATACAATAGATAATGTGAGTACTATATTAATACAATAGATAATGTGAATACTATATTAATACAATAGATAATGTGTGATTTATGTAAATACAATAGATAATGTGAGTCCTATATTAATACAATAGATAATGTGAGTACTATATTAATACAATAGATAATGTGAGTACTATATTAATACAATAGATAAGGTGAGTACTATATTAATACAATAGATAATGTGAGTACTATGTAAATACAATAGATAATGTGAGTACTATAATAATACAATAGATAATGTGAGTACTATGTTAATAAAATAGATAATGTGAGTACTATGTTAATACAATAGATAATTTGAGTACTATATTAATAGAATAGATAATGTGAGTACTATGTTAATACAGTAGATTATGTGAGTACTATGTTAATACAATAGATATGTGAGTACTATATTAATACAATAGATAATGTGAATATTATGTTAATACAGTATATAATGTGAGTACTATGTTAATACAATAGATAATGTGAGTAATATGTTAATACAATAGATAATGTGAGTACTATGTTAATACAATAGATAATGTGAGTACTATGTTAATACAATAGATAATGTGAGTACTATGTTAATACAATAGATAATGTGAGTACTATGTTAATTCAATAGATATGTGAGTACTATATTAATACAATAGATAATGTGAATACTATGTTAATACAGTATATAATGTGAGTACTATGTTAATACAATAGATAATGTGAGTAATATGTTAATACAATAGATAATGTTAGTAATATATTAATACAATAGATAATGTGAGTACTATCTTAATACAATAGATAATGTGAGTACTATATTAATACAATAGATAATGTGAATACTATCTTAATACAATAGATAATGTGAGTACTATATTAATACAATAGATAATGTGAATACTATATTAATACAATAGATAATGTGTGATTTATGTAAATACAATAGATAATGTGAGTCCTATATTAATACAATAGATAATGTGAGTACTATATTAATACAATAGATAATGTGAGTACTATATTAATACAATAGATAAGGTGAGTACTATATTAATACAATAGATAATGTGAGTACTATGTAAATACAATAGATAATGTGAGTACTATAATAATACAATAGATAATGTGAGTACTATGTTAATAAAATAGATAATGTGAGTACTATGTTAATACAATAGATAATTTGAGTACTATATTAATAGAATAGATAATGTGAGTACTATGTTAATACAGTAGATTATGTGAGTACTATGTTAATACAATATATAATGTGAGTACTATATTAATACAGTAGATAATGTGAGTACTATGTTAATACAATAGATAATGTGAGTACTATGTTAATACAATAGATAGTGTGAGGGTACTATGTTAATACAACAGATGGTGTGTCGATACTATGTTATGACAAATAGATTGGGTGTGTACTATGTTAATACAGTAGTTTGTGTGTAAGAACTATGTTAATACAATAGATAATGTGTGGGTACTATGCTAAGGTACTATGTTAATACAATAGATAGTGTTTGAGTACTATGTTAATCCAATAGATAGTGTGTGAGTACCATGTTAATCCAATAGATAGTGTGTGAGTACCATGTTAATCCAATAGATAGTGTGTGAGTACTATGTAAATGCATGTTTTCTTTGACTTCGTATTTCAGAAATGCAAAGAATCAACTGATGGAGATCGCGTGCTTATCATGTGATCGGGAGGTTGAACTCCCAAACCAGACGTGAGTTGATCTGTCATTGTCAACCTGACATTTAACGGGTGGGTCTGGAACGGTGTTGATGAATCAGACGTCACATGACGTCATTTGCGTTTGTTGCTCCAAGTATGGGTCTAATATAGCTTATAAACTGGTTTGTTGCTCCAAGTATGGGTCTAAAATAGCTTATAAACTGGTTTGTTGCTCCAAGTATGGGTTTATAGCTTATAAACTGGTTTCAATCAAGTATATTTACATTAACCACGTATCTGCTTTCACCTAGAAATAAGGGAGAGAATTTTGACTTTCAGAATCTAATTGACCAAGTAAAGTCTGTAAAGAAACGATTTTCTCTAAAGGTACAATGTGCACATGTTTAGAACCATTCCATATTTTGTTTTATATAAGAGGATTGTCACATTATTTATCAGAAATCAACAAAACTGAAGAATGTATTTGACATACGTTAAATAGATCAAGGAGGTGATAGGATGCATTTACTAGAGTCTTGGCAGCTCGTCCAGAGAAAGTGGTTCAGTTGGTCTTCCTTCAAATGTAGTTTGTTTTGTCCTGGTTTTTTTTTTAAAAGTGAAACACCTGGTCCCCATTTCAGTGAACCACCTGGTCCCTATTTCAGTGAACCACCTGGTCCCCATTTCAGTGAACCACCTGGTCCCCATTTCAGTGAACCACCTGGTCCCCATTTCAGTGAACCACCTGTTCCCCATTTCAGTGAACCACCTGTTCCCCATTTCAGTGAACCACCTGTTCCCCATTTCAGTGAACATCCTGTTCCCCATTTCAGTGAACCACCTGTTCCCCATTTCAGTGAACCACCTGGTCCCCATTTCAGTGAACCACCTGTTCCCCATTTCAGTGAACCACCTGTTCCCCATTTCAGTGAACCACCTGTTCCCCATTTCAGTGAACCACCTGGTCCCCATTTCAGTGAACCACCTGGTCCCCATTTCAGTGAACCACCTGGTCCCCATTTCAGTCAACCGCCTGTTTCCCATTTCAGAGAACCACCTGTTCCCCATTCAAGTTATTTCAACCCAACGATTTCTCCACGAATTCCAAAGGCGGTCTTCAGTCCCCCAAGACTACGTTACCTGCTCCATCGGAACTACAAGTAAGTTCTATCTTTGAAGTTACAAGTAAGTCTTAGCTTAGCATCTACAAGCAAGTTTTATCTTAGCAACTACAAGTAAGTTTTATCTTAGCAACTATAGGTAAGTTTTATCTTAGCATCTACAAGCAAGTTTTATCTTAGCAACTACAAGTAAGTTTTATCTTAGCAACTATAGGTAAGTTTTATCTTAGCATCTACAAGTACGTTTTATCTTAGCAACTACAAGTAAGTTTTATCTTAGCAACTATAGGTAAGTTTTATCTTAGCATGTACAAGTAAGTTTTATCTAAGCAACTACAAGTAAGTTTTATCTTAGCAACTACAAATAAGTTTTATCTTAGCAACTATAGGTAAGTTTTATCTTAGCATCGACAAGTAAGTTTTATCTAAGCAACTACAAGTAAGTTTTATCTTAGCATCTACAAGTAAGTTTTATCTTAGTAACTACAAGTAAGTTTTATCTTAGCAACTACAAGTAAGTTTTATCTTAGTATCTACAAGTAAGTTTTATCTTAGCATCGACAAGTAAGTTTTATCTAAGCAACTACAAGTAAGTTTTATCTTAGCATCTACAAGTAAGTTTTATCTTAGCATCTACAAGTAAGTTTTATCTTAGTAACTACAAGTAAGTTTTATCTTAGCAACTACAAGTAAGTTTTATCTTAGCATCTACAAGTAAGTTTTATCTTAGTAACTACAAGTAAGTTTTATATTAGCAACTACAAATAAGTTTTATCTTAGTATCTACAAGTAAGTTTTATCTTAGCATCTACAAGTAAGTTTTATCTTAGCAACTACAAGTAAGTTTTATCTTAGCATCTACAAATAAGTTGTATCTTAGTATCTACAAGTAAGTTTTATCTTAGCATCTACAAGTAAGTTTTATCTTAGCAACTACAAGTAAGTTTTATCTTTGCAACTACAAGTAAGTTTTATCTTAGCACCTACAAGTAAGTTTTATCTTAGCACCTACAAGTAAGTTTTATCTTAGCAACTACAAGTAAGTTTTATCTTAGCAACTACAAGTAAGTTTTATCTTAGTAACTACAAGTAAGTTTTATCTTAGCACCTACAAGTAAGTTTTATCTTAGCAACTACAAATAAGTTTTATCTTAGCAACTACAAGTAAGTTTTATCTTAGTAACTACAAGTAAGTTTTATCTTAGCATGTACAAGTAAGTTTTATCTTAGTATCTACAAGTAAGTTTTATCTTAGCCATATCTTTTTTACCTTTATTTAATCTCTCATCAACTTATGGCCTTTTACTTTTCTCTTGCTGCCCTGTTACTTGATGTTTCCATTTATGTCTTAGGATAGATACAGAGAACTTTATGTTTCCATTTATGTCTTAGGATAGATACAGAAGGACTTGATGTTTCCATTTATGATTTAGGATAGATACAGAGAACTTGGTGTTTTCATTTATGTCTTAGGATAGATAGAGAAGGACTTGATGTTCCATTTATGTCTTAGGATAGATACAGAAGGACTTGATATTTACATTTATGTTTTAGGATAGATACAGAGAACTTGATGTTTCCATTTATGCTTTAGGATAGATACAGAGAACTTGATGTTTCCATTTATGCTTTTGGATAGATACAGAAGGTCTTGATGTTTCCCTATTAGGCTTTAGGATAGATACAGAAGAACTTGTTTTTCCATTTATGCTTTAGGATAGATACAGAGAACTTGATGTTTCCATTTATGTCTTAGGATAGATACAGAAGGACTTGATGTTTCCATTTATGTTTTAGGATAGACACAGAAGGACTTGATGTTTACACTATACCTCGTCCAATGGGTGGAGGTTATACACAGTACTGGCCAAAATCAACTCATTTAGGACATCAGTAAGTTAATTTATTTATATACATAGGACAGCGGTAATTTTTTTATACAGTTAGATCATCAGTAAGTAGGTGTATATTGCCATGTATTGAATGACTTTGTTAGGTCTATGAAATTAATGTATTGATTTCTTTAGTTAGGTCTATAAAAGTACTGTATTGATTGCATTATTTAGGTCTATGAGAGTAATGTATTGATTTCCTTTATGAGGTCTTTGAAAGTAATGTATTGATTGACTTTGTTAGGTCTATGAAATTAATGTATTGATTTCTTTAGTTAGGTCTATAAAAGTACTGTATTGATTGCATTATTTAGGTCTATGAGAGTAACGTATTGATTGCCTTTATTAGGTCTTTGAAAGTAATGTATTGATTGACTTTGTTAGGTCTATGAAAATAATGTATTGAATGACTTTGTTAAGCGTATGAAAGTAATGTATTGAATGACTTTCTTAGTAATGTAATAATTACCTTACCAGGTCTATGACAAGTTATGTAATAATTGCCTTAATTAGGTCTTTGAAAGTAATGTTTTGAATGACTTTGTTGGGTTTATGAAAATAATACATCGAATGACTTTGTTAGGCCTATGAAAGTAATGTATTGATCACCTTAGGTCTATGGTAGTAATGTATTGATTACCTTAGGTCTATGAAGGTAATGTATTGATTGTCTTATGTCTATGAGAGTAATGTATTGATTACCTTAGGTCTATGAAAGTAATGTATTGATTACCTTAGGCCTATGAAAGTAACGTATCGATTACCTTAGGTGTATGATAGTAATGTATTGATTACCTTAGGTCTATGAAAGTAATGTATTGATTACCTTAGGTGTATGATAGTAATGTATTGATTACCTTAGGTCTATGAAAGTAATGTATTGATTACCTTAGCCTATGAAAGTAATGTATCGGTTGTCTTATGTCTATGAGAGTAATGTATTGATTACCTTAGGTCTATGATAGTAATGTATTGATAGTCCCCATCATCACTTGTATCATAAATCAGTCCTTATCTACTGGTATTGTTCCACCATCTTTTAAAGAGGCGATCGTCACTCCACTATTAAAGAAATCAAATCTTGACCCAAATGTGATGGAAAATTATCGCCCCATCTCAAATCTACCATTTATATCCAAAATATTAGAAAAAGTCGTTCTCCGCCAACTCCTGGATCACCTCATTCAATATGACTTGTTTGAACCATTCCAATCAGCATACAGGGCGCATCACTCTACTGAGACAGCTCTGTTGCGCGTCGTAAACGACCTTCTGTCGTCTTGTGATGAGGGCCAGGTATCGATTTTGTCTTTACTCGATCTATCGGCAGCTTTCGATACGCTTGATTACGGCATACTGCTCTAGCGTCTGCAACAAACGTTCGGTCTCACTGATACCGTCCTGAGTTGGTTCCGATCATATCTGACTAATCGGGTCCAGTCAGTTATTTCAAACGGCCTGACTTCGAAGAAATCCAATATCGAATTCGGAGTACCCCAGGGCTCGGTTCTAGGCCCGGTGCTTTTCACGATGTACATTCAGCCCCTGGGCGCAGAGATCAATCAGTTTGACATGCAATACCACATGTTCGCAGACGACACTCAAATTCATCAATCCATGCTCCCCTCTAAGTTCCCTCAGCAGCTCACTATGACACAGAAGACAGTTGAATCAGTTAAGCTTTGGATGACCATAAACAAGCTCAAATTGAACGATGATAAGACTGAGCTGCTCCCCATCGCGACCGCTCAGAAGCAAAAATCTGCAAATAACACGACATCAATTACTCTTTCAGGAGTGCGTATTGAGTTAGCTCAAACAGTGCGGTACCTGGGTGTCTACCGAGACTGAAGACTTACCTTGGAAAGTCACATTAACATGCTATGCAAGGCGATTTTTCTAGAGCTGCGCAGGATTAGCCACATCAGGCCCTTCCTAACAATTGATGCAACAAAGAGGCTGATGTCTGCATTTGTGCTATCACGCATGGACTATTGCAATTCTCTCATGGTGGGTCTTCCAGCTATGCTCCTTGATAAAATTCAGATAGCACAGAATAATGCGGCTCGAATTGTTCTCCGCAAAAGCAAGTTCGACCATGCAAAAACACTTCTGAGAGAGTTGCATTGGCTGCCGGTGCGTGCTCGCATAGAGTACAAAATCGCAACTTTGTGCTACCGCTGTCTACATGGCCTGGCGCCGTCCTATCTGAAAGAGCTGCTGACGCCTTATGTACCCACTAGACAACTCCGCTCATCCGACAATGGCAAACTCTTGACACCACGTGTTCGCCTTGAGACTTGCGGAAAGCGCACTTTCGCATTTGCTGGTCCAACAATTTGGAACGCCCTTCCACTCGATCTCAGAAACATCCAGACACTGGAGTCCTTTGAAACCGATTTAAAGGCACATTTATTTCGCAAAACACCTTCTGGGATGATTGTCTACCATATTTTCCATTAAATACATATTAGCTGTGTTGCTCACGGTTGAAATGGGTTGAAAGACTTTGCCATTGTATGCTTGTAATTAGTTTTTGTAGTGTTGCGTTTGTTTTAAATGTTGTAAATTATAGATTTGTTGTTTTTTTTTACTCTTGTGCCGCACTTGGAGCCTTTGGGGATGAAGCGTGTTTTTGAAATACACTTTATTATTATTATTGTCTTATGTCTATGAGAGTAATGCATTGATTACCTTAGGTCTATGAGAGTAATGCATTGATTACCTTAGGTCTATGAAAGTAATGTATTGATGACCTTAGGTCTATGATAGTAATGTATGGATTACCTTAGGTCTATGATAGTAATGTATGGATTACCTTAGGTCTATGATAGTAATGTATGGATTACCTTAGGTCTATGAGAGTAATGTATTGATGACCTTAGGTCTATAAATTTAATGTTTTGATTACCTTAGGTCTATGATAGTAATGTATGGATTACCTTAGGTCTATGATAGTAATGTATGGATTACCTTAGGTCTATGATAGTAATGTATGGATTACCTTAGGTCTATGATAGTAATGTATGGATTATCTTAGGTCTATGATTGTAATGTATGGATTACCTTAGGTCTATGATAGTAATGTATGGATTACCGTAGGTCTATGATAGTAATGTCTTGATTACCTTAGGTCTATGAAAGTAATGTCTTGATTACCTTAGGTCTATGAGAGTAGTGTATTGATTACCTTAGGTCTATGAAAGTAATGTATTGATGACCTTAGGTCTATGATAGTAATGTATTGATTACCTTAGGTCTATGATAGTAATGTATGGATTACCTTAGGTCTATGATAGTAATGTATGGATTACCTTAGGTCTATGATAGTAATGTATGGATTACCGTAGGTCTATGATAGTAATGTCTTGATTACCTTAGGTCTATGAAAGTCATGTCTTGATTACCTTAGGTCTATGAGAGTAATGTAATTATTACCTTAGGTCTATGAAAGTAATGTATTGATGACCTTAGGTCTATGATAGTAATTTATGGATTACCTTAGGTCTATGATAGTTATGTATGGATTACCTTAGGTCTATGATAGTAATGTATGGATTACCTTAGGTCTATGAGAGTAATGTATTGATGACATAAGGTCTATAAATTTAATGTTTTGATTACCTTAGGTCTATGATAGTAATGTATGGATTACCTTAGGTCTATGATAGTAATGTATGGATTACCTTAGGTCTATGATAGTAATGTATGGATTACCTTAGGTCTATGATAGTAATGTATGGATTACCTTAGGTCTATGATAGTAATGTATGGATTACCTTAGGTCTATGATAGTAATGTATGGATTACCTTAGGTCTATGATAGTAATGTATGGATTACCTTAGGTCTATGATAGTAATGTATGGATTACCTTAGGTCTATGATAGTAATGTATGGATTACCTTAGGTCTATGATAGTAATGTATGGATTACCTTAGGTCTATGATAGTAATGTATGGATTACCGTAGGTCTATGATAGTAATGTCTTGATTACCTTAGGTCTATTAGAGTAATGTATTGATTACCTTAGGTCTATGAAAGTAATGTATTGATGACCTTAGGTCTATGATAGTAATGTCTTGATTACCTTAGGTCTATGAAAGTAATGCATTGATTACCTTAGGTCTATGATAGTAATGTATGGATTACCTTAGGTCAATGAGAGTAATGTTTTGATAACCTTAGGTCTATGAGAGTAATGTATTGATTACCTTAGGTCTATGAAAGTAATGCATTGATTACCTTAGGTCTATGAAAGTAATGTATTGAGTACCTTACGCAAGCTGTGTATAAAGAATGTTGCTGGTCATGAATTATTCCCCCACAACTGGCCTAGTGAGACATCAATAAAATAAGTCCTTGATAATAGGATGTTAATAGTTTGATAGGATTTTTAAAACGATGCACCAAATTAAGAGCAAGTGCAAATAACCAATTATTTGTTATGAATATGAAAAGATACATTTTATGTACATGAAAACCCATGATTTTATCATAGTATGTACATTTGGAAACATATGTACATAAGCTAAAGATCCCAAAAAATATTTTTTGCTATTAGTTTGTTTTTCAGTAATAGAAAAACTCGCCATAAGTCACGTTTTAAACAGTCACAGATATGACATGACATGACTCTGAGATTTTATATGATTTAAGATAGCCATATTTGTTAAATTATTAAGGATTGTTTAAAACTGACTTTGCAGCAAACAATTTGAGACAATAGTTCCACAAGCTCCACTGACTAGAACGTGAGTATCCTTTTGAAAAACTCTTCTTTCTAATAACTTTAAGTTATAGTATGATTATAATATATCAGTGGTTCTCAAACTTTTCCCCGCCACCGCCTCCCTGGGCACATCAGTTCACTCTCACAGCCCCCCCCCCCTCCCTCGTGCTTCATTCCAAACATTATAACAATACATTTTTCACGCCACAATATGGGAGATTATTTCACAATGACATGAATTGGATCGACTCGTCTTAGTGAAATACGATGACCACTCGTATGTTCTCTGTGTAACAACTGATATTTATTCCACATTCTACATTCTTTTTTTATATCTCACATCCATGAACACTCGCCCCACTTCTCCAACCAATACCCACACCGTTCAATTTAAACATTCATAAATGAAAACAACTCACCACGTCTAGTCATACAACATGACAACAGCACAGGCCAGTCAGGTCACAAAGCTCAATCACTACACACACTACTAATCGCTAGTCAGACATGCTATCCCGCGATTCGTCAAAATACAAATGATTATTTATTATTGGATTAATTTAATTATAAGCTGAATAATTTAATCTATAACTAATTAGCTTACTAAGATAAGTTATAAGAGCTTTACAAACAAATAAAATGAAACGAACGCAACACGTAGCATTCCAATGTGGGCGATGTGACCATGAATGTCATAGTGAAGACAGCAACCGTGTGTCTATGGTGTACATCTAATGTTCTTATTCTCAGCCTTGTGTCTATGTTGTACATCTAATGTTCTTATTCTCAGCCTTGTGTCTATGATGTACATCTAATGTTCTTATTCTCAGCCTTGTGTCTATGGTGTACATCTAATGTCCTTATTCTCAGCCTTGTGTCTATGGTGTACATCTAATGTTCTTATTCTCAGCCTTGTGTCTATGGTGTACATCTAATGTTCTTATTCTCAGCCTTGTGTCTATGGTGTACATCTAATGTCCTTATTCTCAGCCTTGTGTCTATGGTGTACATCTAATGTTCTTATTCTCAGCCTTGTGTCTATGGTGTACAGCTAATGTCCTTATTCTCAGCCTTGTGTCTATGGTGTACATCTTTTCTTCGTAAGACAACTGCTCATAATTGAAGTCAATGAAAACTAAACGTCTAAATTGTGTCAGCTCTCAGATTGCTTTCAATGTTTTGTTAAATGATGGTACATCTTCTCCTCTTCTTGGTTTAGCAGAAGTAAAAAGAATCTCCTATGTCACTAGTAATCAAAACTCTCTCTAGGATTTAAACGTCTTTGAAACTTTGAATTTTGATGTTTACAAACGCATTCTCCGTAAACTGCCAACCGCTGACTTAGAAATTCCCAGCGCCCCCTTACATAGGCAAAGCCCTTTAGCGCCCCCTGCACAATTCCAACTTGAGAACCACTGATGAAGTAAAATGAGAATTGGAGACCAGAAATAAACCCTTTACTCTGAATGTGGTACAAATAGCAGTCAGATGTGTTGCTAAGTGATGGTTCTTTTGGTGAATCAAAATGGCGTCCTCCTTCAACAGCCAAATGGACCAAAGTGTGACGTTGGCAGAATGATTTAGTGGAGCGGCTCCAGAGACAGATAATCCTTGATGATGTCAGACGGAGATTTAGCATGTAGCCTCTTGAGGTTTTACAGCTCACCATTAGTACGATATCAGAGACCAATTCCAACACTCCCCCCGCCCCCCCCCTCCCTCTCTGAAGGCATCAGTCAGCATGGAGACAAACATTAGGCTGAAAAGTGCGTATCAAACAAGTCTGTAACAATTTCTGTAAGTTTTCAATATTTGTTTGATCTTTCTATCAACGTTTTGAATTTTCAGTGAAAATACCTTCATCCAGGGTTGTGATGGTCGACTCTATAAAGCAGATACGAATTTAATGCAGGTAAGATGGTTGGGGCAATATTTTTTAGGATATTATAGTATAATTTTTTAATTTTTTTTAAACTAGATCTAACTGACTTAGGTTGTACTTCTTTTAAAATATATTTAACCTGGTAATCATATTTTTATGTCGTAAAATTGTGAGGATTAAATCAACATAAGTCAATGTGAAAACCTTTCAATTTGAGGCTAAGATGAAATGTGTGAGGCAAGCCTCGGAACTGGAAGAAAATCATCATGAAAAGAAGCGTCAGTTCAATGCTGGCTTGGATGTTGTCATTGCGTCTGTCAACTACAAGGGGAAATCGGTAAAGTGGTCATCTTTGATCTTCTTTTGTGTGATCATTGTCATCTTTGATCTTCTTTTGTGTGAACATTGTAATCTTTGATCTTCCTTTGTTGAATATTATCATCTTTGATCTTCTTTTGTGTGATCATTGTCATCTTTGATCTTCCTTTGTGTGAACATTATCATCTTTGATCTTCTTTTTGTGTGATCATTGTCATCTTTGATCTTCTTTTGTGTGATCATTATCATCTTTGATCTTCTTTTGTGTGATCATTGTCATCTTTGATTTCCTTTTGTGTCAACATTGTCATCTTTGATCTTCTTTTGTGTGAACATTATCATCTTTGATCTTCTTTTGTGTGAACGTTGTCATCTTTGATCTTCTTTTGTGTGAATATTGTCATCTTTGATCTTCTCGTGTGTGAACATTGTCATCTTTGATCTTCTTTTGTGCCAACATTGTCATATTTGAACTTCTATTGTGTGAACATTATCATCTTTGATCTTCTTTTGTGTCAACATTGTCATATTTGATCTGTTTTCATCACTTATTTTGTCACAGAAAGTTTATTTTCATTTTTGTGGCCTTTTAGGGTTAATGTTGTGTGGCCTTTTAGGGTTAGTGTTGTGTGGCCTTTTAGGGTTTGGGTTCTGTGGCCTGTTAGGGTTGGGGTTGGGTGGCCTATTAGGGATAGGGTTGTATGGCCTGTTAGGGTTAGGGTTGTGTGGCCTGTTAGGGTTAGGATTGTGTGGCCTGTTAGGGTTAGGGTTGTGTGGCCTGTTAGGGATAGTGTTGTATGGCCTGTTATGGTTAAGGGTGTGTGGCCTGTTAGGGTTGTGTGGCCTGTTAGGTTTGTGTGGATGTTAGGGTTGTGTGGCCTGTTAGGGTAGGTTCATGTGGGTTCATGTGGCACATAGAGGTTGTGTGGCCTGTTAGGTTTGTGTGGCCTGTTAGGGTTGTGTGGCCTGTTAGGGTTGTGTGGCCTGTTAGGGTTGTGTGGCCTGTTAGGGTTGTGTGGCCTGTTAGGGTTGTGTGGCCTGTTAGGGTTGTGTGGCCTGTTAGGGTTAGAGTTGTGTGGCCTACTACATTTCTCAATTGACTCACTTTACTGATATTACATTTCTTAATTTACTCACTCTACTATTAAAACATTTTTATTGATTGACTCACTCTACTAATACTTCGTTTCTTAATTGATTAAATCTACTGATACTACATTTCTTAATAGACTCACTCTACTTGTACTAAATTTCTTAATTGACTCATTCTAATAATGCTAAATTTCTTAATTGACTCACTCTACTAATACAACATATCTTATTTGACTCACTCTACTAATACTACATTTCTTATTTGACTCATTCTACTAATACTACATTTCTCATTTGACTCACTCTACTAATACTACATTTCTTATTTGACTCACTCTACTAATACTACAATTCGTAACTGACTCATTCTACTAATACTACATTTCTTATTTGACTCACTCTACTAATACTACAATTCGTAACTGACTCACTGTACTAATACTACATTTCTCATTTGACTCACCCTACTTATACTACATTTCTCATTTGACTCACCCTACTAATACTACATTTCTTATTTGACTCACTCTACTAATACTGCAATTCGTAACTGACTCATTCTACTAATACTACATTTCTTTTTTGACTCACTCTACTAATCGTAACTTACTGGAATTTGCCATTGACATAAAGGATTCGATGTTCTTTCTCTTCCAGTTCAACATGACAACAGAAACAGCGAAATCAGGACAGTAAGTTAGATGGAAGTTAGAATATGAGAGTTATTTAGGTGGAAGTTAGAATATGAGAGTTATTTAGATGGAAGTTAGAATATGGGAGTTAGTTAGATGGAAGTTAGAATATGGGAGTTAGTTAGATGGAAGTTAGAATATGAGAGTTAGTTAGGTAAAAGTTATAACATGACAGCTAGTTAGATAAAAGTTAGAATATGAGAGTTAGTTAGATAGAATTTATAAAATGGCAGTAAGTAGGTAAACTTTAGAATATAACAGTTTGTTAGGTAAAATTTAGAATTTAAGAGGTTTTTTTCATTAAGGAAGCAAGGACTGAATATTCCTATGATTTAATTTGATGAATCTTCATATCGTAGCCACATTGTCCCGGGCTGTGTTGTGAGGGAGACATTGACAGGCTTAACTGAGAGAAAGTAGTTGCTATATTCAAAATGTTACTTTCTCATATTATTTCCTATTCCAAGAATGACGTAATCCAATACTAACCTAATCCAGCATGACCTAATCCAACAATGACCTAATCCAACAATGACCTAATCCAAAAATGACCTAATCCAGCAACGACCTAATCCAACAATGACCTAATCCAACAATGACCTAATCCAACAATGACCTAATCCAAAAACGACCTAATCCAACAATGACCTAATCCAACAATGACGTAATCCAAAAACGACCTAATCCAACAATGACCTAACCCAACAATGACCTAATCCAACAATGACCTAATCCAACAATGACCTAATCCAACAATGACCTAATCCAAAACGACCTAATCTAACAATGACCTAATCCAACAATGACCTAATCCAACAATGACCTAATCCAAAACGACCTAATCTAACAATGACCTAATCCAACAATGACCTAATCCAACAATACTTATTTAAAATGTGTTCACAAATTATTTATTACATAGACGTATTTCTAATCATAAGGAATGTATTAAGACCAACTTACATAATATGTTACTAATTAAATATGAGTAAGGTTACCTGACATCTTACCTGACATGTTACTGAAGCAGTGAGCATTCCTTCACCTAGGATGCGCGGAGCTGTGGCCACCAAGCCGTTTGTTCAAGGAATTGGCAAAAATATCAGCATCACCGTCATGGCAGAGAATCCACAGAAGGAAGTTTTCATCCACAATATTCCAATTGATGAGGTGTCCGAAGAAGTGCCGGTCATAACAATAGGTCTGACCCAATGATAGTTTACAGCAATAGGTCTGACCAAATGATAGTTTATAACAATAGGTCTGACCAAATGATAGTTTATAACAAAATATCTGACCCATTGATAGTTTATAACAATAGTCAATAGGTCTGACCCAATGATAGTTTATAACAATAGGTCTGACCCAATAATAGTTTATAACAATAGGTCTGACCCAATGATAGTTTATAACAATAGGTCTGATCAAATGATAGTTTATAACAATAGGTCCGACCAAATGCTAGTTTATAACAATAGATCTGACCCATTGATAGTTTATAACAATAAGCAATAGGTTTGACCCAATGATTGTTTATAACAATAGGTCTGACCAAATGATAGTTTATAACAATAGGTCTGACCCAATGACAGTTTATAACAATTGTTCTGACCCAATGATAGTTTATAACAATATGCAATATGTCTGACCCAATGATAGTTTATAACAATAGTTCGGACCCAATGATAGTTTATAACAATAGTTCGGACCCAATGATAGTTTATAACAATAGTTCTGACCAAACTGTATATCTCAACAAATTATGTCAAAGATATCAACTATATCTGATGTATGGTTGACAGATGTAGTCCATGGTTGACAGGTGTAGGCCATGGTTGACAGATGTAGTCCATGGTTGACAGTTGTAGTCCATGGTTGACAGTTTTAGTCCATGGTTGACAGTTGTAGTCCATGGTTGACAGATGTAGTCCATGGTTGACAGTTGTAGTACATATTTGTCTATATTTGTCTATATTTTCAACAACAAAAAATGATAAGTTAAACTTCTTATTTTTTAAATACATCTTGTTACAATTTTGGAACTCTAAGCAGTAACAACTGCTACAAGCTCCATGTTCCAGCTCCATGTTCCACCTCCATGTTCTACCTCCATGTTCCAGCTTCACGTTCCACCTCCATTTTCCAGCCCCATGTTCCACCTCCATGTTCCAGCCCAATGTTCCACCTCCGAGCTATGGATTCTTCTTATGTATGAAATAGTTTGAACAATTATCTCAATTTTAAATCGTTTCAAATCTTTTTGTTGTAGGAGAAGCAACGCCTCTGATACAGTCCCCCCCACCAGATGATAACAAGTTGGGAAACAATTAGACGCCCTTACTTTAGTCTTTTTTAAAAAAAAAACATAAATTATGCAATCAAAATGTCATTAACATTCAAGAAAAATAAATAACAATACAATATTTATTTTAAAAATTGTTCTTAAATGATGTCAGTGAGTGATGTCAGTTAATGATGTCAGTTAACAATGTCAGTTGGTGATGTCAGTTAGTGTTGTCGGCTAATGATGTCCGTTAGTGTTGTCAGTTAATGATTTCAGTTAATGATGTCAGTGAGTGATGTCAGTTAGTATTGTCAGTTATTGATGTCAGTTAATGATGTCAGTTAATGATGTCAGTTAATGGTGTCAGTTAATGATGTCAGTTAATGATGTCAGTTAATGATGTCAGTTAGTGTTGTCAGTTAGTGTTGTCAGTTAGTGTTGTCAGTTAATGATGTCAGTTAATGATGTCAGTTAATAATGTCAGTTAGTGATGTCAGTGTTGTGGATAATGATGTCAGTTAATGATGTCAGTTAGTCGTGTCAGTTTTGATTTGATCATGATGTTAGTTGTTGCTTGCATTAATGGGACAAGGCTTTTCCATACTCGTTCCAGTTGGAAAAGCAAGGGTCAAATAAGCAAAAAAATGGGTCAAATTGATTAGAACAGGGGTCAAGTTGCCTAAAGCAGGGGTCAAGTTGCCTAAAGATGGGGTCAACACAAATTTTTGATGAGGGCCGGTTAGAAGATGTGGTCAGTCTCCCGATGCCCATTAACCCTAACCCTAACCCTAAACCCGGTCTCCCAGTGCCTGTAGATTCAACGAAATTGTGTTTGTCGGACTATTTCACAAATATGGAACAAATTTAACGTCAAGCAAGAAATGTGTGATGATTGATGACATGGCAGATTAGTGATGATTTATGACATGTCAGATTGGTGATGATTGATGACCTGACAGACTGGCGATGGTTGATGACATGACAAATTGGCGATGATTGATGGCATGACAAATTGGCGATGATTGATGACATGATTGGCGATGATTGATGACATGAAGCGAATAAAACTTGATGTTGAACTCAAGTTTCCCCCCAAAATATATGTTACTAAAAAATATGAAAGACCTTTGAAGAGCCTAGTTGCACATACCGGTTCTCGTCCGATCACCGAAGTCAAGCAACGTCGGGCGTGGTCAGTACTTAGATGGGTGACCGCTTGGGAACACCACGTGTCGTAGACATCTTTTTCTCTTTTTTTTTTTCTTTGTTACAGAATAAAATGTATGATAAGCAAGATCTTTGTGCCTTTCATTATTTACTTTAAATTGTCTAATTACCCCCACCCCTTCCCCCCCCCCACCCTCTTCTTTTTCTAAAAAATAAAATTCTATGGATCTACCGTATAGGTTTCGCTGGTTTTTTTTTTTAATATAGGAGGGAAAAACAAAACACACACACACACACAAACACACGCGCGAATGTAATTTGTGTTCAAAGCTAATAACTTTAGGTATCCTAAGAAGGTAACAACAACGGTGGGGGGGGGGGG